ATACCCATTCAGTGGCAAATTGATGCCTGTGGGGAGCGGTCCAGACCTGTGATAGGAATTTACGTAATTGCACTGAAAATGACAAATGGCAGTGAAATACCCAATCTATATTTGTCCTGGTTCATGGCTGCTCGTAGTTGTTCTTTTGCTTGTCAAGAGTCATACACATCTTTTCTTGCAAGAAGTTCCATCCCTGGAGGGCTGGGACAGGGGCAGTGAGGAGGTTGGGGCATCAACTGGCAGCTCGAGGAACAACATCTTGGGAAAAACGAGCAATAGCACCACTGAGGAACATTTCACAGTGAAGAGCAGGTGCTATCAGATGCTCGCTTTTGGATGTCAGGAGGCGTGTGCTGGCAATAAGTGCAGTGGCCATTCACATAAGGTTGGACTCAAATGAGGAACAGTTTGTCAGAGCTTCATGTCAAATTCATGCTGATCTTGGTAGATTCTCAGCAGGTTCCCCTTTGTACGATTCTTGGGGATTAGATGAGTCCAGGATTTCGTAATGCGAGGATCAGCACCTGGGAACTGTTGAGCACTGCCTGCTGACTGAGCGATGGGATGTACATGGAATGCCCTGGTGTAACACACAGCTGTCTGAATTCACATCGTTGTCTTTTGACTTAGTGCTGCCTTTGTCTTATCATCTTGGCTGTGCCTCATTGTGTCTACAGGTTCGGCCAGTGCTTGCAAAAGTGAAGGACACACTGTTAGTGTGTGCTGGGTGCTTGCTGCTGTCAACAGGTGCCCTCGTGGCAGGGCTGCAAGGCGCTCAAGACGTGACAAGAGGTGTGGCCCTGTTCTGGCATTGTCCCAGCGCTGCTGGTATCCGTCTGAACAAATGATTCAGCCACGAATTGAAACTTTGTACGATGGTTTTGGTGCTGCTGTTGGACCCCCTACCATTCCAAACATTGGAAGTTGTTTTCTCAGCAAGATTCACCTGGCACCTGTCTAGAATGCAAATTTTTTTTGTTGGGACAGACAGGGTCAGCCGAATCCAGGGGGAATATGGGCAAACTGGCAAAGTGCGGGAGGGCTGCCGCCTTGTCAGTTGGCTCTGCATGTCAGCACATGTCTCTCAACGGGACAGTGCATATCTCTGAAGACTCCTGTTGCCATCCACAATGCAATACGGTGAGCAACAGTTGCCCTGGCCGAAGGCTCAAACGAAAGCTTCAGATTCACTTGAGGGAGGAGTGCATGCGTGATCTTTGCTCCTCAAGTCCTGTTGGAGCAAAGTGCAAATTGACCAGATAGGAATGCAAGCCGTACAATGGGCGCCCCTCCTGCGCAAGAATATTTACACCCCAGCAGGCGATGCAGAAAAGTCCCAGGGTGCAATGGGCATCGCCCTCATCCCACAGTGTTACCATCACAGCATTGCCATTACAGCATTACCACAGTGTGCCATCAAACGTCAAAGTACGTCGCCGCCTCACAGGCTTGGCAGATGGCCCTTCCCTACGGGCATTGACTATGGGGATGTGCGAATGCAGAGGGCCCGGTCGTGCGCACCCCGAAGCAAGTCACCCTCAACGGCATCATCTACAGCGACAGGGTACGCGACCTGTACGAACTGTCGCTGGACAGCGAGGCGGCGCAGGCAGAAGCAGACGCTCAAGGCGGTGTGCCGGGCTACTGTGGCGACAGATACTTCAGGGCATCGGCAGGCGGGCACTTCTGTGAAAAATTTGATCAGTGACACAGGTTTACGTACTTTCATTTCGTTGGGCATTCCCAAAGTAGACAGAAAGTGGTGCTGATGCCCGTCGGACATGTTTATGTGATGCGTGTGAGCAACAGCTCGCCAGGTCGGGCTGGGACTGCGCACAGGTGCAGAGACTGACGCATTCTTTGCTTTGGTTCCTTCTGTATGACGCTTCGTTCTTGAGCGGGGGTGAGCGGCTGCATTGCAGCAGCGCATCTTTTGACTCTCCTCTGCTGTAACTGTTTCTGGCATGATACTGGCACATTGGAGAATGGGGATGCTACTTCCAAGGTTGCCAACGCAACGCGCCCATGTGGCATTGACAGCGACGAAAAGGACGGGGCAGGGCATCAACCAGAGAGGCTTGCCCACTCCTGGGCGGGTGTTGGATGGCGCCTGCGGCCCAAGGCCAGGGTGATTCACAGGCCAGCAAACCGCAAGTGTCCCACTGGTGAGTCTGTTGAAGATGCTCAGGGACATTTGCTCGGTGCAATGCAATTGCAGGTAGCCTGCTTCCACGGGCTCCAAGACATCGCAGTTAGTCACTTGTTCGGGTCAGTCGGACTACGAGAGACTGAACGCCGAATCGCATTGTGCCTCCGTCCAGACAAGCGGCAGCGCCAGTGCACAGTGTGCAGGTTGGGAAAGCATGTGCGGTGAGCGATACCCGCCACGTCTTCCCCACCCACCCCCCGCCCCCACCTTCATCAATTTGTGAATCAAAATCGCAGTGTGGACAGTGTGTGTGAGCAACCCCCGGCATTGCTAGTTGGTGGCAGAGGATTGCCTCTACAGTCAAATGTCACGTACAGTGGCAGAGGATTTCCTCTGCGGTTAGTTAAATGCAGTCAATTCCATGCTTTTCACGGTAAGCAGCGCCAGCCCCACTTCCTCGAGATGCGCGTGTGGTGGTGGGGTGTGGATGCCAAAACCAATTCTTCTTTGAAGCCTATTGAGAGCCTAGGTCGATGCAAGAGGGTAGGATGTTCGACGTGAGCACTGCACCAAAGCGTCAATCCCCAAATGCGTGCCTCTGCGCCCTGAGAATGAATGCCGCTAGGATGCTGTGCTCGTTTTCAGGTCGGGCAACGCGGCTGGTTCACGACCAGATTCGTGGGCCACTTTCATGACCGTCACCGTCACGAACCTTTACATATTTGTGCGCCACATTCACAACACCCGACAAAGTACACACGTGCCTACCGCGGCTGCAATGCAACACATGATACAACACATTTCGCTGCCATCCCCAACGGGCCACGCCTCCCCAGTTTTCATCCATTCGGCGCAATCGCCGCCAGGTCGGGAAAGGCAGGGCTCCCATCGCCTGGCAGGCATCCATTCAGAGATAATCATGGACCTTCATCGCCATCTGACAACGGCCGAAGATATCCCTGACGTCACCTGTCTGCAGCCTTCTCAAAAGTCATAGACAAGCTGTTGACGCAGTGGCGGACGTCGGTGGGCGTGGGCATGCCCTGGGCAGAACATGGCGCAGAAAACGGCGTCTTCAGCACCAGACACCGTACCGAATTACCTCAAATCTGGGGAGGGCTTTGAAGTTCCGGGGGCTTGAAGCAACTAACGGCAAACGGGAACGCAGTGAAGTTGCGTCTCTGCGCGTAAACGCTTCGACTCGGGCAGCAATCTTAAGCTGCCGTCGCTTTGGCACGAGCACTTGTGCAGAGTCGAGCACTGTATGCACTGATGTCCGTCAATCTGATCGCGAAGGTGAGATGCGTATTCTCTTTCATTGGCGTGCCTACGACGGCATACGGCGAAGTCCATCAAACCCCTTTTCGCCACAGCATTGCCGGATCACTTCTTGTTGCTGTCCCGCTCGCCTTGTGCAAAGACGCGTCTGGTCATTAGGAGTCAATAGATTCATAGCCTTTGTTTGTGTTGACATTGGATTTCAATGAACTGATTATAGACACTGCTTTGCTCGGGCAAAATAGGAAGCTCACGGCTGCCTCACTGCCTTGTTCTGTAAAAATGATGATGATGATGCAAAGACGCTACTAGCAATGTACCATCGGCGCCAATGGCAACGACGAAATCAGGAACTGGTGGAATCTGCACTTCATTGGTGAAGTGCCCTGGATTTCAACGAACTAGTCATGGACGCTGCTTCTCTCGGGCAACGCAGGCAACTGACGGGGTCACCTCCTCGCCTTGATACACAACACTGCCTGAATTGCATTGACTGACTCATTACTGCTTGATCGTGTGAACGCTGCAGACTGTGCCAGCCGCACTGACAGTCGAGACGGGGATTCATTGACGCCGCTATCATTGGGTGAAACAGGAAGCTGAAGTTTTACACGCACGCACGCACGCACTCTTGCGTTCACATTCTACACTTCCAGTATGTCTTGGTGTAAACCCCTTGGATTGCTTCTGTCCACAAAACGACAAAACGCAGCCCCTCGCCTGCAAGGCGCTGCCGGACACGAGCCCTCATACACATTGTTCGAAATGCACCGCCATAAGCGCCGAGGCCCAAACGTGTTTTGGTGGAACATCACAGCTGCAACGGCGGCGGCGTGAAATGCCGCTGGCCAAACTGCAGACCAATCGAAGGACGGCGGTGGAGCGGAAAGCACCTCACCTCGTTTTCGAACACATGCCCCAGGTGGCCGCCGCAGTTGCTGCACACAATTTCCACGCGCCTCATGCCCATCGAGTTGTCCTCGTAGCGCTTGATGGCGCCCTCGATTTCGTCGTAGAACGCCGGCCATCCACAACCAGAATCGAATTTATGTTCAGACCTGAGAAGCAGCACCACAGGCCCCAAGTTGACGCTGAGCAGCCAACAATTACCGATCAGGAGGCAGCAGCCCAACGGCAACGGCCCACGACACCCTGCAGCCGGAGTGCAAGCAAACGCTGCACCACTGCTAAACTACTAAACTACTAGTCCCAGCTGAGCACCTGGGACCACAGAGTTGATGCTGAGTAAATTGTTTCGAATTCGATAACACCTGATATTGGCCCAGCCCATGTCCTGCTGAAAATGGGAAAAAAACATTATGTGCTTGACTCCGTTCAAATCGGCGCCCAATGCATTGTGCGCAAAAACATTTGAGCGCATTCGTAAGCATCAACAAGACATACAAGCCAAGCACAAGGTGATGACGTGAGCCGTTTGCATCTTCAGCTTTTCGTCCCAAATTGATCACAAATAGAATGACCCATCCACACTGGATTCAGAATGAATGGAGGTGTTGTTGTGGCAGCATTAACATGATTCCAATGCCGCTGTGAGGGAAAGCTGAAGACCAATCAATGTTCAAAACAGTTCCTTTGCACTGTGTGAAGTTACCAACTCGTGAAGAGTTATGACCCAAGCAGGGAGGGACACAACTGAAAGTAGCTGGCCTGAATTGACGATCCACACATTCAGCATGGAACTACGCAAGCCAAGTCACGCCTCACACTTCTGGCTCAACAGTACAATAAAAGAGAACAATTTTTGTTCAAGCACACGTGGTGCCTCAACCTCTGTTTGGATGGTGAGCAAGGTAAATGCATTCAAAGAAAAGGAGATGCCATGCACCAGGATAATGCCCAGACACAATGCTGTGCCATTACTGTGCAAAAGACACCACACAATTGACCATCCGAATAGCCTATAAGGCCATGCTAGAGAATCTTCATGGCCTGCATGCATGCCACATCATGTGGGACTGTCAAGAAAATAGGCTGTACATCCCAGTGAGTTGTATGCTTTGGCTGTCAGGCTTGCAGGTTGCCCTGTGACAACTGGAGTGCTGCCCATCACTCAGCAATTGCAAACAGTGGCACTTAAACACGGGTGTTCCAGCCAACAATTTGCAGTTGGCAAGGTTACATGCCGCAGTATTGTTGTTTCATCAAATGCCTTTGCAAGTGCATATTGCAACTGAATACCTTGCCAGCATATGACCAAGCACTGCCGTTGCATCCACCAGGGGATCTCTGGCATAGCTTACAAGCACCAGCATTTGTTCCCAAAATAAATCTGTTCCTATTCTTTCAATGGCCAACAGTGGCAGGTTCGATCACTGATGCAGTTCTAATACAAGGTATCTTGTATCTCAAACTCTTGCATGCCTGTTGTGTACATGACCTATAACAACGATCTACTACAAGAGAACTGCGTCGATGTGCGCTGCAGAATGTCAGGTATGAGTGGACAACTCACTTGTACAGCTCAGCCCCGCACCCAGCACATTTGTAAATCCCATCCTCATAGAATTTGTCAAGCTTGCCAGAAAATGGCATTTCGGTCCCCTTTTCCCTCAAAACATGATACTGCATCAAAACCATCAAACACTTCCCCATCAGCTACTGATACAATAAACATGCAGTCCACGCCAAGCAGCCCATTTTCCTGTGGTGCCTGAGAAGCCAATTATTGGCAACGAGCTGCAATTAGTCCCCAGCTGCATGCACATGGTGAGCTAATCCAGGCTTGGTTGATGGGCAAGTGCCCATGCACCGTGTTTTTGCTGTATTATTCTCATTGTGATTGTGCATTTTTGTACTGTGCACAAGCAAATAGAGATCTCCCTTGGAGCCGACTTGTCGCGCTGGTGTTCCGTTGGGGTGACTTCAATACTGTTCACTTTCTGTGAAGGACAAATCAGCACAGTGACTTAGTCCAGCACTTAAACAAAGACTCTTAATGTCAAAGGCCCATGGAAATTGCAGAAATACTTTTCCATCGCAAATTGTCGTTTTGCATCTGGGAGTTTATGCACCACTTTTGCCACTCACAATACAATACAGCAGGAGCCAACATAATTCAAGCAAGATTGGAAGAAGCAATGTACAATCTGTGTGCACGAACATGTTTGTCCCCTGTTTTGCTAGGCACCCCAAGCGCTGTTCATGCACTCCTCAGCTTGCAGAACGAGAGGACACAAATTGGGACCCATGTGGGTTGGGACTCCCAACCCGCCTGGTGGCGTCCGGTGGGCTACTGACTGTCCACTCGTGCAAAGCCGCCAACAGCCCACCTCATCAAGGCCATGTCAGCCATCGACCCATGCTTTGCCTTGTCTGAGAGGCACCCACGAACTGTTTCCCACACTGAACCTATCCAGGTCGAATCCTCCACCCCCCGCACACCCATCACCAATCCGGGCGATGTCCAGAGGACCAGGATCAAAATATCTCGAGGCGCTCGCTGCGACTAACACAGCAAGAAAACGGCCCAATGCCGACTGGCCCAGAGCCCCACAGCTGTCCCACAATGGCCAGGAAACGGCCCAATTAGTTGGGTCAGAATGGGCCTTCAAATGTGCAGACTGTGCCATACCCCGCAGCTGACCCATTCATCGCCGATTGGCCGGCGACAGATCCCCACAGCACCCGTTGCCCAACCGGCAATTCCCATTCGCTGCCATGCACTCACGTCGCTCTCGGAGTCGTATCCACCCAAGCAAACCCGCACTGTCCGGGATGGGCCATCGCGGGATCCGCCGACCACGAGCAATGCTCGGGAGGAGAGAGCAGAGTGAGAGGAAAGAAGAGAAGGGAGAGGAGAGCTTGAGGCTCAACAGGATCGCGGAAGCGGCAGTTGCGAATCGGCGACTTGCCGTCGGTGGGGAGAGCCCGGCCAAATCGGCCGGAATTCATCGGCATGGAGAAACCCGGTCATGCCACCCGGAATTGCACCCCACGTCAAGGTCGCCCCGAGGACCGCACCCCACCTGTCAGGGGTCCCCTTTGCGCGACCCGTTTTGTACATTTGCTTGACCTGTTGCCTGACCAGCACCTTCGTATGATCCTTTATGAGGAAGGCGTGCTCGTCAGCAAACACTGCGGGTTCCAGCAGAGACACATGCTTGGGACCGTCGCCCGACATCACCAGCTTGTTGCAAGGCCTTCTGCTTCATCTTGTGACAAATGCAACTCCAACGAGGGCTCGGGGGCATATATAGCCTGTCAATAGGAGGGGTGGCCCATATGTATCCTGTCATGTGTATGGGTCATATGCATCCTGTCAATAGGAGGGAGTGCCCTTTGAATGACCCGTTTCTCTTTCTCTTTGTGGCAAATCCCACCCCACCTGTTCCGCGGTCAGGATCTCCCTCCACTTCGAATCGGGCGTGTTCGCGTCCAGAGGCTGGCTGGGCGCGTCGCCGGCCAGCACCCTGAGGAGGGGCCGGCCCGAGGCGGCGGGCCGGCCAGGCCGGAGGACCTGCGGCCGCGGGGCCGGCTGGAGGCCGGGGCGCCTCGCGCAAGCGGCGAGGAGAGCGCGCGCCATTGGGGTGGGGTGGCGTTGGGGGGAGTCGAGGCCACATGTACATGTGGGCTGCACCGCTTCTGAACCGTCGTTGTGACTAAAACTCAGTGAGTACTATTGAAAGCCGGACGCATACACTGTGGTTACAGAATCTTCGGACGACATGCGTCCGATATCGGAGTCCGATCATCGGAGCAGGAGACAGTTTTCGAGCGCTCGATGCCATCGGAGCGCCCTCCGAAGTCGGACTCCGATGTCGGGCAGCGTTTCGGACCCCGATCGGGGTTGCAAGCTCGACGCGCGCACTGGGTTCTGGTGGGGTGGGCTGGTGCATCAGGAGCGGCTCTTGGCGTCGGCGACCGATGCGGCGCATGGTGGCCTGTTTTGGCTGCCGGTTTTGTGGTGTTTTGTTGCCTTCATGGATCACCTCCTGGTGTCCCAGCCGACGCCCTGCGCCTCGTGAGCTGGGATGGGTCGTGGGCGGTGGGCCATGGGCTCCCCCATCACGCGCCCAGCTGCGCCCATGTGCCTGTTTTCGTTTGGAGTGCGTGGCTGTGCTCGGTCGTTCCCCCCCTCCGCAATTCTTGTTCCGTGTCGATGGCAGCTGGTTTTCGGTTTGGGGCTTGGCTGCATGCCTCGTGTTTAGGAAGGCACAAGGCCTTGTGTGGTGTGTTGGGTGGACGACAACCAGCTCGCGCGTGTCCCGGATCAGCCTTGGCCGCCTGGACATGCAGCCACAACGAAAAATTAGACCCTCAGCCATTTCTTTCGACGCGCGAGCGCGTACACGCACACACACACATAAACATACGCACCTGAGTTGCCCTGCAACGCACCACACAAGCGCACACACAAAAGCATTCAGTGGCCCTGCAACGCAGCACACACGATCAGTCCTGGCCTGGCCTTCCCATGGGCGCACCTTGAAATATGGTTTGGCTGGTCCATCGCCATTGCCTGTCCATCGCTGCTGTCGCTGCTGCTGGATCCGATGCTGGGTCCACCGCCATTGTCGCTGCTGGAGGAAGGGGCCGGCGCCGCCGACGCAGCCCTCCAAGCCAGCACCGGCGCTGGCGCAGGCGAAAGGGCGGGGTTTTGGTGAAGGCGGCGCGTCCGCAGCCACAGCCGTACATGTACAGCCGTCGAAGTTTGAATTTGGCCTCAGCGATGTATTTGTCATCCTCACGGGCCTAGGCACCCGCAGCGTGCGACTCTGCGGCCAAGTCGTTGGCAGTGCGCCAGGTCTGATCAGAGTCGAGCTCGGGGTGGGGCCCTCTTCGTTCCCCTGCACCCAGGCGCCCCTGTATTCAGGCCCCCCTGTCGCCATTGCCACGGATCTTGAAACCCGTTTCGGTGTTTCGACGTTGTGGCGATCGAGGCCAGATCCCGGGCCAACGGACCTGCCATCGAGACCTGCCCGAGAGTGTTTGCAAGCATCAGCGAGGTGTGTACTGAAAGCCCATTCTTGAACGACAAGTGGTGGAACACATGGGGCCACAGTCACTAGAATATGTATCACCAGCCCGCACAAGATCAAGCACCAGCCTTACATTGCGCTTTTTGAATACATATGTTTGAATACACCCAATCTGTGCTTGGATACACCTGGAACAAACGTCACCACACTCACGTGCGGAATGCTTTCCTGTGGATATGGCGATTTGGATCTTGACCTGGACCTCAGCCATGACAGCGGATTGTTGAGTGTGGGCTGGCCTGGGCGGTTAGTTGCTTGTTCCTGTTCAGTGCGGTCTGCACTCTCTTGTGTTTTGAGTGTTGCTGTGACATTATGGGAAGTGGAGGGGCCAGTAGAACTGGGAGGTTGGAGCGGAGGCATGGTGGACAGGTGGTGGGTGGAGGGTGTAGATGTTGTGCAGACTGCTGAAAGAGCATGTTTTGCATTGTCATTGCCTGGTGGCTACCAGAAGCTTGTGCCTGGTTGCATTGCCGCTGTTGCAAGCGCTATTGGAAAGACAATAGACACTGAGACATAAATGTTTGCCGTGATACCGAGCCTATGCTGCCAGCACTATGGTTAGGCGAATGGCAACTGTAGCCATGCCAGCTGTAAACTGAAGCTTACATTACGTGTTGCTGGCCTCCTGGTGGCCATGTTCAAAAGCAGCTTTACACTTGTGGTTGATGGTTCTTGTACCCAGTGTCCGCAGCACAATTGAAACGTCTCGTACCCAGCCTGACAGTAGAAAGGCAGCTCTTTTGGCGCCTTGGAATACAGCAAGATGGTGCGAACAATGTATGCTCATAAAACAGGGAAGGTGGCTGTGCTGTGACAAATGCAATGGCAGTGAAGAGCGGTTGTGGAATACTTCTCTGGAGCAGGTCAGGAGTGACTGTAGACGGTGTTATCAACTTGGTAAATGTGAGGCACTGTTTCAGGCCGCATGCCAGTTTCCGACGTGGTCGATCTTAGCTCAGCTCTGTGAAAGCGAGGTTTGCATTTCCGTTTCACGTATGGGCACATTTTTTGTGGCCTCAGGTCTGGGGCGCACAAGAAGAGCAAAGGGAAGAAATGTCACAGGGAGAAAACCAACAAACATGAAAAAAGCGAGAACAGCAGAAAGAGGAGGACAGAAGGCAGCAGGGAGGAGCACAAGAGCGGGAAGCACAAGCGTGTGCCCCAAGCTGTGATGGATCCGATGAAGGGGTGGAGAGGGGGTGGTTGAGGCTGGGGATGCCCTCACAAAAGTTTTGCAAACTTGGCATTTGCTCTGTTGCGCCAGTGCACCCACTAGCCGTGTGCTGGCAGATAGCATCGTCATTGTAGCACAAATATGATATTTGTAACAATATCTTGTTCCACTGGCCCATGCGCTGACTGTACAGCGGTTGTCGCTGCCTGGCCCGTTTGGATGCAGCTGGCTGTGCACAGGGGCTGCGTGTCTAGCAGTCGTACCGCCAGCAGGCCTGGCACTGTCCTGTGCGGCGCCTCAGGAATTGCCGGTGGCAGACTGCCAGACAGGTACGTTTCTATGTGGCTTGCGCAAATTTGCCACAGGCCAGAAATCCGTTCCCATGGCCCGGAAGTTCTGCTTCAATTGTTGATTTGTATTGCTTGGCAAGCCAAGGGGGCTGGGCGCCATTGTAATGGATGACGTTGGGAATCCTCAAGGATGCGCCATGTGGGGCGTGTCTGGCCGTGGCTTCTGCGAACCCCGATGGGCACGAAGTATTCGAACTGGAGAACATGCCAGACAATTCCGGAGGAGCCACGGCCATGTTTGCCATTCTTGGACTCGGCGGCATCTCACAATCACCACCTGGAACATCTCCAATCGCGGTCCCCTCGTGGCGGCCCACAGCATCCCCAGACGATCCCACAACGCCAGGATCGCCACTTCTTGTCCTGACAAGCAAAGCGGGGATATCCCGAACTGTACAGGTCTCCATGTGCTTGTACTGGCCAGTGCGGGAGACATGCCTCCCACACAATTTGCACCTGAATGTTTGGCACACACATTCGAAATGTTCCTCCACGACCGTCTTGCAATACATCATTCTGGCAGGTCTGCCTGGCTATTCTGGGCAGCAAAGTTGCAATCCAACAATTTTCTTAATGCCAAAAGATCAATTGTCACTGTTGCCAGCCAAGATTGGGGGACATCTGCAGCCCGTTGCAGCTGTTGCCGTTCCAGTGCGTGTGCAGTTGAATGGGATGAACGATTTCTCACATACATGTATCTCAAATACATTTCGTCACACATCCAGGAATACGACAGCACCCCATTCGCTTCCATCCCTGCCGTCTCCGCAATTCACCTTGTGCACTAACGTCAACTGTCACACCTATCGATTATTGCCAACACCTCTAGAAAATAAGAATTTCTTGCATTCTGGGCTGTATTGCTGCTGTGCATATGCAAGGGGTGCCATGGCTATATCATGGACGAAACAGGAAGATGACGGCCAACGCCATGCCTCCGTAGTTTGTGCCTCTCCCAAACACTGATGCATGTTGGCATTGGCAGTGATGGTGGTGAGGCGCGCAGCCAGGGTGCCAATGCATTATGAACTGAATTGCACATTGTATTTCCAAGCACAGCTGTTACTAAATACAGATTGCGATGCGAATGTTGGCACCCGATGAGCAGGGGTGTCGGAGCCGATCGCCGCGCTGGCTCGAAACAGTACACAGAACAGCGCAGGTGCGTCGGCCTGGGTGCAGGGGGGGCTATGCCAACGATCATCAGCTTGAAAGATCAGCGAGCTCCCCACCGGTATCAGTATCCAGTTGACAGATCAGGACAGGGGATAAGCTCCCTCAGGCTCATCCAGCCTTTCTGGCGTTGTTTTTGTAGGCGATTCTGCAGTACACCTTGGGTGCCACCAATGCCATTGCGTCTGACAGGTACCACATCAAACGCAGCACCTCCAATCCAGTACGCGTCAATTTGAATGTGAACTTTGGGACCTACAAACTGCCTCAGTTCTAAAGGCCAATCCACACTTCAGTCAAGCAGTCAATCAGCCGTGTCGGCTGCCAATTCTTCTGATGGCAACCACAAGCAAATACTGCCAGGGTCCCGCAAAAAGTTGTGCTCCTAGCGCTTTGCGACACTGGCAATCAGATAGGAGAGTCTTAGGATATCCCGAGACATCAGACGTGTTGTGCTGATCTACTCCAGTAACCGGAGCCTACAAATAGCAAACCGCGGGGCCGATACCCACAACCGATCGGGAGCGCACTCTGACGATCGACACCATCCCAAAGGGCTGTGAGCGTGGCGGAGGACTGTGCTGTTGCCCTGCCAGAAGAGGGCACACAAGCAAGGGACCGCCACAGGTGGGCGAGCATTATGCGAATGGAGCGCAAATGCACTATGCACGGCCGATTGCTTTACAAATTGTTCAGATGGCTCAATTAGTGCCCCAGATGCTGTCCAGATCGGTACACTTGCGAATCCCATATGACAAGCTCACTTGCCATGGTTGATCCCCAGGCCATGAAGGACTGCAGTCAGTTTCGGCTCACTCTGTCTTGCTTCCCAGCCCCGTTGTGGGCGTCTGCTGACATGTTTTAGAGCCTCAGAGCAGTTGTGTCTTCAGCACCTGCGCTTGAGGCCTGCCCTGCTCCTGGTATCCCTTTAGCCTTGTCCGTCCGGTCAGAATCGTCGAGCATCGAAACCTTTATCTCATCAAGGAGCACTGACACTGTCGGTCGCAGCCCTGCATGTGCAGCAAGTGATGTTGAAACATCGTTGGGAAGGGCGCAGACTGTGAGGAGTATGGCAATGCATACAAGCGGCATGTGATGCCAAGGATGTGGCAAGACACCATAAAGGCGGTGGAGAAGCTCCAGGTAAATTTGGCAGTGTTTCTTTGATAGAGTCACCACTGCATTCACCCACTTTGGGAAGAATGATAACATTATCTTTGTGCAATGCAATCATGTCCTACTTTTAGTTCCTGTTGTTTGTATTCCTAAACAGTGTCCTACAAAACCGTGGGTTTCATCAGCACTCCATTGAATATCCACAATAATTTAGCCAAAGATCATGGGGCACTTCAAACAAGTTCTTTTCGCCCATCCCCGTTGCATGGTGTCTTATTTGAGTTTGCTTTCTTAAAAGCTTGTGGAACACCTGGCATTTTCAGCAGCAAATGCCTGCCATGTTTCCACACAGTAGGAAATGGACAAAGGTGGTGCTGAGGACAGTGTTGCTTCCCCCACAAAGAGAGCAGGACCACCTCCACAGGGAGCCACTGGCGAGGATGAGGACGACAATTGGCCCAAGAGGGTGAGGCAGCTGTGAAAGGAGACTTCACGTATGAACCATGTCTGGTGTACATGTCAGCACATGTGCCTTGGACGCGATTAGTGTGCGGGGCTGGAGTTCTTGAGGGGCAAAGCAATGGATCTGACAATGTTGCCCCCATAGTATCAAACTTGTGTGATGTTGTCGAGCTGCCACGACACAATATGCAATTATGGACTGATTCTAAGAGAACACCCCCTTCACTGTGCACCTTTCCAGCCTTTCCAACAGTGTCTGTGCCAGTGCTTGTCAGTGCCTATGCAGAAATGCCCACACAAGTTCATCCAAACTGCAAGACAGCTTGTGTGGGTCCCACCTCTCACAAGATTAACCCAGCCATACAGGTGGGTTCCGCAGATGCAATCGTCGGAGCGCATCGTCCAACTGTGGCTGTGGTGCTTGGAGCACGGAAGCGCCCGCGAGCCGTTCCCAGCACGTGACCCAAGCATCAGCCAACGGCGTCAAGCACACGCCCCTCTCCTTCCCCTTTCCCTCCAGCCACGCGGCCTCCCAGCACACCCTTGCGTTTCGCTCACAGCGTTCGGCCACATCGTCCAGGATCCCCTTCCATGCCTGCGCAGTACTGGACCTGGATCTCTTATGCTTTTTCTGCCCGTGATTCCGCCCAGGGAATGTGAGCACTCCACGGAGCCCTCCCTCTCGCAACGCGCCACGGCCACATCGTCCTGGATCCCCCTCCCCACCTGCGCAGCACAGGACCTGGATCCCATAAGCTTTTGCTTCCCGTGCTTCCGCCCGGGAATTGTGAGCGCTCCACGGAACCCGCCGCTGCCATTTGCGCACCTTGAAACACTTGAGCACACGGAACGCATTGGATGCGCACGGGGGGGGGGGGGGCTGCCACAGGGCGGTGCGCCCGCCGACTCTTCGATCCCGCCTCTCCACCCGCCTTGCCGTGTGTTCGCGAAGTCGGAGCGCAGCAAGGAGGGGTCGGGGGGGCGGGGGGGGCGGTTGCCGCAAGGTAAATGTCGCGGGTGAAGCCGGAGCGCGGCACCTGAACTGGGGTTCCGGCGTCGGACGTGGATCGGAGACGCATCGGGGGAGACAGAACTCGGAGTCCGACGTCGGATGCCATCGGAGCTGCATCGGAGGCGCTCCGATATCGGACTCGAGTAACCCGATGATATGGAAATGATGAGGCGTTAAGGTTTGCATTAAGGACATTGATGAACGGACTGGATATAAGGTACAGAACTACTGTTGTCCCTTCGCGCGTCTGTGAAGCGTTGCCATGGACTCCAACCACGGTCCCCGTTCAGGAGTCGCCACCCCCCGACCCCGCCTGCTTTCGTCATCATCTTTGCAAAATTGGATTGCAAAACAAAGATGATGCTGCGAATTCCACAAGAATCACTGGGGAACTTCCTTCATGGCGCTCAGGTCGCATTGAGGTAGATGGGCGCATGTTAGGACGTAGCGCAGCCAACAAAATTGGCAATAATGGCAGTTTTGGCAAATAAATAATTGGCAAAATTGGCAATTGGCAATCTCTGCAGCGCTTCGAAAGGGGTTCTATATGGATCACCCACACAGAAATGTGCGTAGATGCGTACTGCGCGGCATGATGATATCCTGAGAGACAATATGCACACACATGTACGATTGTGTGGATAGACTGGACGTTATGCGTGGACGTGAATGTGTGGACAGAGCGGACAGAATCGCTGAATATCCATGGGCGACCTGCCGTAGGTTTGTAGCCTTGCTTTGTCCGCTGTGCATGGTTTCACAGTACCTAGACATATGCATGCATGTAAAAATGTATGCATACAAATGTATGCATGCATTTTTGTAGGTATTTATACAGGTACGTTGACCCTGCCCAATGTACGTATTCTTCCGTTTAGGTATACCCCAACGTATGCCGCAAACGTCTGTAGTTTTAGGAAGCGCCCAGGACCGCAGGGCCCAATCCTGATTGTCTGCATCCCCGTCACCGCTGCCGTGTGCGTAGTCTGTGATACAGACTCTGTATGATGGGGAAACTTGCGGCCACGCACGTTGGTTGCCAGCCTTGAAGGTTGTACGATCGCATGGCGTGGAGCGCGCTCATTTTGCCGAATTCCCTTTATGAAACAAAGAGATTTCCGGAAGAATGAGCAAACTCCGTGCCACCCATGCATGTAACGTAGCAAATAACATGTAGCACATGTTGAACTGCCGTGCGGGCAGTCGCGCTGCCGCTCAACAGGGTGTTTGATGCAATGCTCAGCAATGCAGCAGCAGCAGCACACAGCGCGTCGACATGCAGGCGAACAGACTGCGAGAACCGACGCATGGACGTTGGTGCATCAACACCCACCACATGTCCACCTTGCGGGGGCACCGGCCAACATGTGACATCAGTCATGTGCTTCCAGATGCGATGAACGGTCAACACACAGGACACAGCACACAGCGGACGGCCCTGAAGTCAAACAACCCATCCATGCCAAAGGCGTGCTGCAGGGAGGCAAGGTAACCGCACGGGCAACCCAGCTGTGGACTGCTGCTCCGGCACTCAGCACAAACCTAACTTCAACTCCGCTATGCAGTCCCACATTCTGGTCGTTTCCAAGGTAAAAGAATTGACCAGCAGGCACTGGCAAGCACACCCAAGAAGAACTGCACGGTCTATGCTACTCTTAAGCCTGCAGACAGATACCCAGGTTTCCACCTTGACAACAAAGGCCCTCCACGTGAAATTGCAGATCCCCATGCATACTTAGAAGAAGCCATGACCCTGTTCATTCCGCCAGCCACAACAACTGCATGGCAATCCTAAGAAGCAAATGAGATCGAAGTTGCGGTGGAGGCTGCACTCCCAGCACTGGTGGGTTGGAGAATTCTGTTGATTGCTGATCTTGTGGATCGACTTCACAAACCACCTCGCAGGGCCAAAACCTGCAGCCATCGACAACACAGGGTCCAAGTTGGTTCAAACAGAGGCAGCCCTTGCTGGGCTCTAGGACAGACCTGCAACAGGCATCCCTCAACCCTGAACTGACTAATTGGAGGAATAAAAAAAAACTGTACGAAAACTGTTCAATGTACTGCACAATGGGGGGATGCCTCTTGTGCAGCATTTTGTATCAACCTACATTGCTGAACCCTGGTGTTCTGCAAAGCCCCCTCCTCGCTCCATTGCCGGCAGGCAGTGTGTGCAGGCAGGAATTGCTTGTTAAAACAGGCTGACCTGGGAGAGTTCGAAATAGGGCCCACAATGCTCACCAGATGGCACCAGCACTTAAAGCATAGCATTGCCCAAGTACTTGGGGCCAGTACCGGGCGATTATGGGAGTCTCCTGTACTTCAGTGCGCATAACTGATCCATCAAGGGCCATCTGCCCCCTTGCAACCTGCCCTTCTGCCGATGATTACAGAAATCAAAGTTCAAGAGCATATGTAAACATGTCACTAGCTCACCAAATGAAGTACAGAGCCTCCCTCGATGTTGTAGTCCTTTGCATTCTTATCATCGCTCAATTGCCTGCCTCCAAAAATCAACCTGGGAACACCAGCGCAATCCCAGCCTTCACAATCAACCTTGCCACTTGATATAGCATGCCCAAGAATTGCCGATGGCCCAATCACATGGGAACTGGTGTTTCCATGGTCATTTAATTAAAATGGATAATTATTTAAAATGGAGTTTAATGGCATGGGAGCTGGAGTTTCGATGGTCATTTTCTAATTCTGGTATACTGTATGAGGTCCGCAAGATCCAAGGTGTGCCTTTCACCCAATGCAGTGAATGCACATTTCACACCTCTTTGTGCATCTACCTTTCAATAACTTCAGTTTGCGGATATTTCCACACCCCTGACTGAGTGTCTAAAACATGCTGTCCTGTGTTGGGTCTTTTTTCTCTGGGTGCTCTTGGAGTCTTGTGCATCAAATATCAGGGCCTGGCAAGGGTCTTACAAGCACATTTGCTTGGATATGTTTTCCAATCCAACCCAACCAATTGTCCACGGCAACAATTGTGGGCTCACTGCAGCAAATGTTTCCAAAGCAAGCAAGCAACAAATGTGAGAAAATGATAACAGTGGGTGCCGCTGCAGTTTCGGTCTTCTAGTGAGGCATTTCACAACCAGCAAGCCTGCAACAAGGCATGCACAGGTGGCATGGAGCATTCACACAAGGGGTGGCACAATAGGGTGCTTGCTCTGCTGGCGTGAGGCTCAGAGTGTGTTCTTTCGCCAAGAGAGCTGAGTGCCTTGTAAGCTGCTGGAAACACATGATGCTGTGGAGAAACATATCATGACCAGTATGTCGTTCGTTTGATGCTGTTATGGATACATATATTCACTCATACAAGAAGGGGAGGCATCTGCATGGCTGCAAATACTGCAGGCTGCAATGCATTACAGATGTAGTGCAATGGACGCTGTTTCTTGCTTTGTGACAGGCCCAGATAACTTCCCTGCAAACTGGTGCTGTGACGATAACAAGACCCATGCATACCCTTGGGCACCGTCCACTGACAGTGCAGCACGGGTTCCCACTATTTTGCTTCTCTTGTTGCATTTGGAGGCTTGTGCAACATATACAGGAGCACAGGAGTCCAAAAAATACACCATATCCAGCAGGCAGGGTAGGGTTAAGGTGAGGGGCACACATCGTGCGACACATTCACTTGCTGTGACAACAGACAATCTTCAGCCCTACACCCTGATGCATCTTCCACATTGTCTTGGCGTTGGGGCCTGCCCTTGTGTTGTCCAGTTTCTCCGACTCTCATGTTTCACAAACAAAATACCAGGAATGTCCCTTACAGCTAAAGGCAATGGTGACAGTGATGAGAATATTGGGCTGCCGGGTGTAGCAGGAGGCCCACAGCCTCTTCGCTCTACACATTATTCCTGCTTCGAATGGCAATCGGCGATTGCAAGGGTTCTCACAAACATGGTTCCCAGGCCCAACTAAATTTCAAATCATTGTTGCACTGTACAGCACTTTGAGGGTTATTCTAGTGCATACAGGGGAATGATGTCAGCCTGATGGGCCCGCTCATCCAAACTGAAACACAGCCGCAGCTGCCCACCTTTGCTGGACAGGTGGGATGCCTTCCTTTTCTTCCAGACGTTCCTTTATCCGCTGGATGGTGTCTGTTGGGTCAATATCGATTTCGATCTCCTTCCCTGTCAGAGTCTTCACCTTGATCATCATCCCACCCCTGTGCACAAAGAATGTGTGTGATCGCCCCCAGCACACAAAGCCAACTGATGTTGACATCCAAACAGAAAGGAAGCTACTAACAGCCTTGAAGACCTGTCCTGTGTGTTCCCATTCTGCATAAGTTCCTTGCTCTTTTGTTTCCTTTCAGCACTTTGAACAAGGCTTGCACCAGCTCTGAAGCGCAAGGTCGAAATGCCAATGTGGGGGGGGTGAAGAATCGCTTAGGCAGTGGGTTGGGGACCGCCAGATCTGCTGCCACAACAGCCAGGTGCCTGTGATGCTGTTGCATTTAGAACCATCCATGGAGTATCAGTAACAGAAAGCGCCATGAACTTGCCCAGGGCTGGAAGATCACCAAGAAGGTCCACAAATTGCACATAGCAAGGGACTGAATGTGGCCCGTGTCGCCCCCTTATGGTTTGGTGGGGGAGTGGCAGTTGGTAAAATGCAGGCAAATCTACAAAATGAAGGTGTTCTGCAAGCTCCAAGAAGCAAGCGCACAAACAGACAGGAACAAGTGCCACAGCACTAACAGGTAGCTGGCGGGCTAGATCAGGGTAGACTTAAATTCAGAGATACCATATTGGCCAAGCATCTCTGACCAATTGCCACTAAAGATGTGCTTTGCACAGAAGGAACCATGGTATGCAATGGGCAACCTCTGCTCAGCAGGACAAACTGCCACACTTCTTCCAATGTAGGTGATGGAAGCCTTCAACTTTGCAGCAATGATGTTAAGCAACACTCAGATGCACGCTCAACTTGCCACCACGCCACAATGGCAACAGCATTTTACCAATTGCCCAGCAAACCAGCATATTATTGCAGCTGGCAACGTTTCTTGCCGTCCAACCACCACTGCCCGCCGGGGCAGCTAAGCACAGACAAGAAGATAAAGGGCAGGAAGAAGCGCAACGCCCCTTGCAAGCTCAGGCATACACAAAATGTAATCCTGGGCCATATCGCTCTCATATTGCCCTTATTCTCAGAAACGGGGCCCGAGCAGCGCTCCGATCAACGACGATGCCGCACCTTAGGCGAACAGACGACTGAAAATTGCAGAGGTGGTCGATGCCGTAGAAGCCAAGAGTGTGGTCATCATCCAGCGCCAGGCCGCGGAACGTCAGGCTGTGGTCGCCTGCAGGGCAGCCCTCCTCCTCCTGCGGGTACCGGCATTGCTTGAATCGAGCGAGAGGAGCGCTCAGAGGCAGATGGCTTTTGCCGTGCCCAGTTTTCTATTGTTCGCTGGAGGCTCGCGAGGCAGGGGATGAAGAGTGGCGTCATGGCGCCAGGGGCGGGGTGTTTGGGCGTGGCACTTCTCTATTCCGGCAGGAGACGGGATGTTGCACGTTGGCAGGATGTCTTCACACCGGGAAGGACAGCAAAGATTGGAATGGAAGGTGCAATGCCGGCCTACGGCATCAGCGGCGACAGGGCGCCACTGGGCGTTTCGGAATATCGGCGCCTCGGTTGCATCGGGGGCACACCCGGTGTCGACAAGCCTTTCCAATTCGGTGCCCAGATGTGCGCCAGAGCCCCTTCCGAATTCCCCACAGCGGGTTCAGCATGAGCTGGATGCGGGGGGGGGGGGGGGACTTGCAGGCCTGGCCGATCCTCGCCCCAAAATACGTAATCAGCTGCTCGCGCAGTGGCCAAGGGTCCGGGCACAGCACCGAAGGCCTGGCGGCACCCACCCTTTTCACACGCTCCGACATGACAGCCCACGGTCAGGGGGCGACGGATCCGCGATCCAACAGAAAAAACAAACGAAAGAACGGCGCTCTTGATTGTTCGATCGGGAGATGGCCTGCAGCGCGGCGCGGAGAGGAGCGACATGGATGCCGCGGAATGCCCGAGCAATCCGTGGGCTGCTGAGATCGCATGGCTCACCATCATGCTCCTGAGGGCGCCGACCGTCGTGCCCCGATCGACATCCAGAGAGACCACGCCGCCGTCGGGGCGCGTCGCGAAGATCTGCATCGCGGCAGAGAGGGATGTCCCCGGGCGAGAGCCGGGGTAGGGTGGGGTGGGGCAAGCGGCGTGTGAAGCTTTGGCCCGGGGGCTGGCGGTGGGGTGCAGGTTGCGTGGGATGGCTGCAGGAGGGCCCGTGTGGAGAGGGGCAATGAAGCTTCAGGACGGATGGGCGCCAGGAACAGGAGGGCGATGGTTTGTTTTTGTGTGGGCTGCAACGATAATGAGCACATTAAGCACTGATGACAACGAAAGAGGGGGGGGGGGGCATAAAATTACTGGCTGCACCAAATCGGTGACTGCTTGCACCAAGTGACGTGCACATCATGTCCAACTCCGTCCAAACTAACCTAACCTAAACCCTAAACCCTAAACTTAAACCTGTCCTAACCCTAACCCTAAAACTCACCCTGAAACTAAACCTAACCCTAAAATTGAGGTTAGGACAAAGTGTGCACGTGACTTGGTGCAAGCAGTCGCCAATTTGGTGCAGGCAGTAATATTATTTCGGAAATGGAGTGAATGGACAGGCACGTGTTCGTGTGACGAGCATCTCTTCCGACAGAAGCCGCCGCTTTTGAGTGACAGGGCTCGTAATGGCAACCGCTTCAATTCAATGGACATGAATTGACGTTGAAGAAGGGATGCAGGGTCGAGGGGTGGCAACCCGAGGGGGCCCGAAGGCCTGTACACGGCAACGGATCACAGCGGAGTGGAGTGTCTCCTGGCGCAGAAATGCAAGGTCATATGTTAATGTCATGGACTTGAATGCTATTGACGTTGATACGGCATTAACTGACTGAATTCAAGAAAACACCATCAGTGGAGGGATGGGTCACTGGTGGTGGAGGCGGTGATTGTGACGATACTTAGTTTACCTGGCCACCTCTGGATGTGGTCTGTCAATCAGAGGACTTCGGGCGACTGGTGTCGATGACAAGCACGTGATTCACTCTGACGGATGCCAGGTCGTTTTCCCACGGTAAAAAATTTCATTCCGCTCTAATTATATCAATCAATACGATCCTGGCCGTGAAATGCCAAGAAAAGCAAGCGGGACAGTGAGTTCATCTTTTACAACATTCCTGGTCTCGAGAACACCCAGCCGTTGCTGAAGTGGCCTCTCTTGCCATCTTGCTTGTTCTGGAATTTCCCAAACGCATGCTCACCTTCCCCAACATAGAAAATCCAAGGGATAAGTGTCACTTGAGATAAGTTGAGATTTAGGGTAAGCGTTTTTGTCATTCAGCCCTACCGCAAACGGGACAGTTACCTTAAGTATGCAAACATGGAAGGTAGGCGGGTGCAAGCGCCATATGTTCTTTTTCTTGTTTGAATTCCAATGTATTACACGAGAATGTAGACTAAAAGTGCCATATTTCAACGTTGTGGACACAAGAGTCCTGCATGTCCACATTATTAAGCTATTTTCAATTGCGCGGCCAAGTAACGCGAGTCCAGAATCTGCGTTGTCGCTGCGCCCGCACATTCCTTTACCGAGCGCAGTGGTGCCTCCTGCACACAAGAACTGCCATGGCTGCCGCAACAAAGATCCTTTTATTACACGTTCCATTCCCTTTGAATCGACAACAGTCGGTATCCACAGCGGCAAGCAGGACCACCACAGGCCAAGAGCCAGCTGATGAGCATTCAACTGCCAAGCATTCCACTGAAGCTGGCCATGTACGAACACCCCACATCCAGTATTCCGTATTCCATCCCGTATTCCTGCATCTGTGTGTCTACATTGTTGCTGCGCCACAAGGTTCCTAATTCAATATTCCAGTGCGAGCAACATCGAGGGGCCACCAGATCGGGTATCTTCTGCATGCAGCCCCTCTGCTGCACCATCCCGACACCGTTTCACAGCATCTCCCACTCTGAGCGACCAAATCAGCCTCGGCAAAATCTGTTGGCGGTGTCCGGGGTCAGGCCAGAAGGTCGGGATTCAGGAAGTCCCTGCGCAAGGCGCACAATGCAAGGTTAGCGTTCGATGATGCCTCAGCATCATTGATGTCCATTTCGGAAATGAACAGACAGTCAAGGGCAGAACTGTGCTTGAACAAAACGCTCCTTTTGCAGAGCATGCTACACTTGCAGCATTCCTTCTGCATGCCAGCCGCATGTTGTGCTGCTGTGGATTCGAACGGCGTAATTGCAACGCTCTCGACCAACTTGAAATATTTCGGAAGCCTTCTGGGGTTGTATTTCCAGCACCAGCAGCCAGTCATTGATTGGCGGCGCCCACATGTGTCATGGGATAATATTGTGGAAACCCCTCGCTTACATTCGCCATTGCTGAGAAAGCACTCACAGAAGCCTGTCGCTAACTGTGCACAATGTCGATAGGTACTGGTATTTTATAGCACTCAGTTGACCACTCTTCCCTGAAACGGCGTTAATGTACAACACGTGAAAATGGAATCAAACCGTGCAATCAAAACATTTCTTTGTTGCACCATTTCCACTGGCGCGCGAGGAAGCACGAACAGCCTTGGAACGGCGACGGGGCTCACTTGGTTATGTCATCCAGGTGCTCGTCGAAGTCGCATATCTTGTGGTGCTTCTGGGCGTTCCAGTAGTTTAGCAGCAAATCCCGCACGCTGCCCCCAGTGCACACCAGCCCCCCGTTGCCATCCTTGTCGACCTTTGCCACCTGCCAGCCGTTGGGCCGGCGGACGACGAGCTGCACACAGCAGAGGTACAATCAAAGGCATAATAAAACATGCACAAGACAGAACTAATTAGAGTATTACTGTAATTAGTTATGTTAGAATTAACTAGTAGTGTTAGAGGTATGTTAGTTCGAGATTTGTTTTTGAGCAAAACAATCAAGATGTTCGAAAAATGGTAAATGTTCCAATAACCTGTAATTGACCACTGATATGCCCCCGTCAATCACTGATTTGTAATCCGATGATTAAATGGTGGCACATGAGAATCCCGTTTCGAGGAATGCCATCAATACCATAGAATGGCTGTCACCTTTTCTCGATGCTTCACACGCAACTTTCCAGTTCTCATGACTGGAGGTCGGTGGCTGAACACTGATGTGCAGTGAAACTCAATGGGAGAAGTGAATGCAGCTAAAAGAGCCAGTTTAAAGAGATGAATGTCTGACACACCAAGACAGCAGTAGCTGCCATGTTGCGCAAGCACCTATTCATGTGCTGGTGGGAAGACGGCTGGCCAACAATCAGGTTCAATCCTACTAATTTGGTGATCGAGAGTTGGTACTATGAGTTGGGGCTGTGGGTCGGTGCCGTGAGTCGATGCTATGGATCGGTGCTGTGGGGTAGCGTGTTGTGCGTGTGTGAAGTGTGAGTTCAATCCGGCGTTCTGAGTGTGAGTTCTGGTGGGCGAAAAAAGAGGCGCATTCTGGTGTTTAAAGAGAGCCCGAGACTTGTTCGTGGCTTCTCTTGGTTTGGTTGTAAGACAAGTTGAGACATGGCTGCTTGTCCGACCATGCATGGCGAGTGCGTTTGAGCACCGCGTGCACCAAGGTTGCCACAGAGGTCGAACCAAAGCGGTTTGACTTGTGGTGCGTTGTGGCCCATCGCAGCGCGCATTCGATTGCGACGAGCGGGACCTCGAACCGGGATGGCTAAGGAACCTTGACAGTAAACAAGACGAGGGGCATGCAAGGACACACGCAGGCATGACAGAAAGTGCACAGACTCTCTCAAACGACTAGCAAAAGTTAGTTCATATTCCACAAGCAGCACAGGTGCGGGAAAACAGAAATACAGGAGAAAGTGCTGCATGAATAAGGTAATGAAAAAGAAATGGACACCAAAACGATGGAGGGGGATCCGATGCATTCAAGATGAGATTGAGAATCAACGCGGCGGTGCGCGCCGGGCGTCTGTGAGACAGAAAGAGGCAGACCTCCTCAGCCGCCAGTCAATACAATTGATGTCAATCCCAAGCACATCACCGCCGACCGTTGGTGGCCCTGTCAGGGGAGCCCATGGATCCAACCCAGCGGGTGAGACCCGGAACTTCGCGCGCAAGAGGCGCCGAGCTGTGACAGCGGCAACTGTTGCCCGGGCCACCCAAATGCACAACATCGCCTTGGGGCTTTGCCGGTAGGGACTTCCCAACCATGAGCATTCCTTAGCAAATGTACGGGCGAGATCGCCCCCTGACAGCTGGCTCGGAGCCCAGCTCTGCGCGATCCCGACAGGCCGCGGACGTACAGCACTACATGTCCACCCCTGACTGGGACTGCGTCTCTTCCAGCCGCCTGACATTTCGGCATTCCCCCGGACACCTCACGAGGTTCCACCGCCGGGATAAATTCTGGGCCTCCGCCCATTGCCCTCCACAAGCAAACCGCCGAGTAAGTAAGGTCGCGGAGGAGCTCGCAGCACCCCGAGAAGCCAAGGGAACCTCAGCTCACGAGCTCAGCGGGCGGCAAGGACGAGATGGCAAAGACGGCGGCCCTGTGCGTGCTTTTCGTGGTCATGCTGGCGTTCGCCGTCCAGGAGAGCGAGGCCATCATCCGTGAGTGGCGCTGGCACGGCAGTTTGGGACACACAGCTTCCGCCGGGGCGCACCGCGCGCAGCACGGCACACGCGGTTGCTGATTTGGTGCCAGACCGTGCGCGACCGAATGGCGACTTGCGCGGGTGCATGAATGCCATGCATGTCCCGGCGCGGGTGCACATGGGCTCTGGGCGCATGGCGATCGCATGTGGATTCGAATCGCGGCAGTGGGGGGATTCGGCGGGCGGGACTGTGTCCAGGCTGGCTGTCTCCAAAGACGCTGCCCCTGGAGCGCCGATGACGACGGGCTGGGGTGGGCGGAAAGTGTGATCCTGCGCCAGGCGGCCGAGGTGCCGCCCGCTGGCGCTGTGCGAGCGCCGCGGCCCGTGCATGGCGCACGCATGGAAGGAGGTGTGGATTGCGCAAGTCGGCGCGGTGCGCTTTTCATTGCCGTTCCTGTCCACCGGCAGCGACGCGGCCCCAAGGCAGCGCCGTGTCGGCTGTCGGAGATCTCGATTGGCAACACGGAGGACACACATTTTCCCATGCCAGAGGGGGGCGCTCAATTGTCTCAACTCCTCGGCAGAAGCCGCTGCGCCCGAGATCGCCAGACATGACACTTTCCTCCGCGCCGTGCCACCACCTTCGCGAACGCCCGCTCGCGCCCACTTTGTATCCCAGCCCATCCGCAAGGCCATGGTGCCCCAAATCGCCCGACACGGCGTCCGCCTCCGCGCCAAGCCGCCGAGTTCGCTGAATCCGCTGTGCTTTGCGCCCGCAGTCAAGACCATCGCCGTGGCCAGCCTCTTGAAGAAGCTCAAGGGCAAGAAGGCCGCCGCCGTGGTGCCCAAGGCCGTCGTGGTGCCTAAGGCGGCCGCCGTGGTGAAGAAGGCCCTCCCAGCAGCCCCGGTGCCGGTCTTCGAGGCCCCGGAAGCCAAGCCCGTATTCGCGAGGGTCACCGCCGGTAAAAAGCCCTACTACGGCGAGGGTCGCAGGCTCAAGCTTTGAGCGTAAGCCGGCTAGTGCGTTCTAGAGAAACGGGATCGACTGGGCTGCGGGACACTGTGGCATTCGAGAGCCTCGGTCAATAACCGTCTGACGCCTGGCGGGTCCTGCCCGCTGGGCCATACGGGCGCCAGCGGGCGGAGGGGGTCGAATCTCAAGAACCATTTTCATGTTTGAGAGGGCGCACTGGGAGCGACGGGGGACACGACTGAGCGAGGGGCCTCTTGCCATTGCTTCTCTGGCCATTGTTGGCTTCTCTGGCCCCCTGCCGGCGCGTGTTTTCGTTGTGGTTGGATTGGCGACGGGGTTAGTTCGTGGCCGCCGCAGTCGGCGCGCGTTGGATTGATATCTATAGCTATTCGGTTCGTCGTTGGGGAGTGTCAGGCAGTGGGGTTCACCAGCGCCGCTCGGTGACTGGCCCGGGGCGCCGTTGCCGCGTCCGGAGGGGGGTCGTGACTGGAACTCGCCCCACATCTGTAAAGATTCTTCTGTAACGAAATAACATGCCGTGAGTGTGGTCCTCAGGCCGGGTGCGCGAGTTGATCGATGGATGTGCGATGGTTGATCGACGAGGGGGGGCAGCGATGGGGTCACGCGGCGAGAGCAAGCGGGTTCAAAATCAAACAGTAGAAACCGTAGGAATTGGCGTAGAAACACTGCAGCATATTCAGCCCTTCTGCATCAAGCAATTTTACCATCAACACTTTGCTCCGCATGTTTTTTTCAGAGCGTTACTCTTATTTGCGTTGCTTCACCAAAATTTTAACAGAAGAGCATTATTTTGTTTATTGTTATCCCCACAAAAAAAGACAAGCGTTACCATGCGGAAAGCTTGAATATACTATGGCGACACCCCCACCGAGGGGGTGGGGGTGGGTGGGTGGAGATGTGCAGTGCCACTAGATTCCAGGGCACCTGTGAGAGGGCGGAAAAAACGCGATGTCACCTGGGGGATGTGTTCGCGTTCAAGCATGTGCGCCGCTAAGACACGATGCACAGCAGCCATGATCGGTCGTCAGAACCGTGTTCGAAAACACGGCCTGGAATTGTGAGAAGCAGGCGTTTGCATGCCGATGTCCACCGGGGTGCAAGAAAGGGTGGAAGTGCACAATCAGTGCCCTGGGAACTGCTGGCTTGTTCAGGTCTGCCTTTGATATGCGAACGCGGGTAGGCACCCACGGACCTCATCAAAGGAGCTGCTGCAATCCCAGGCGGCAGCACGGTTCCAAACGCAGCCATGGCAGCGCAAGTGGCGTGAGACGGCAGCTGAAACCAATGTCAAAACATACGGCTGAGTTTAAGACAGTCCCAGGCTAAGCAACTGGGCTGATTGTGCTCCACCACTCTGGATGGGCTCCATCTCCAATCGGTGTTCAAACTGTTGCCATCCAAACCTGAGCTTGCAGTGGCACTGTATTATAGCAATCCTGAAAATATTCCCTTTGGGCCTTTTCTGTAAAGCGACGGCGATTTCATGTGGGGTTTCACCGGGAAACGCCACCAGCGCATGCCAGGCAATGCACATGGAATACATGACAGAAACACAGCAACTTGTCGCTGGGCAGTTGACACAGCATGGCTGTCTGTGCTATAACCCACTCACCTCGAATGGCAAGTCTTCCTTTTCGTTGACCATTGCAGCCAGTTTCTTGCTGTCAATCTGTGGGGCACCAGCTGATCAGGACGCTGAAAAGCAAAACTGAACAAGGCATGCACATGCTGAGCACAACAGATATGGAGAGCACCATATCACCAGTTTTATCACCAAGTCGGTGCATCAGCACTGTTGCAGTTATTTCCATGTCAGCAGAAAAACTATCAACATTGAGAAGTTCACACCATCATGTGGTACCCACACAGTCATTGCTGTGGTGCCATATGTGGAACTAACTTGCAGCTTTGAGAATTCACGATTTAGACAAGTCAAAACACAGCCCAAGCTGTTCTCTGAGAATGTCATCCTCATCAAGGTAAGTTTATAAGAAGGAAAACACCAAGCACACGATACGAACGCCATTCTCCGCCCAAGTTGCTGTGAATCTCATTTGCCCTGTCCAGCTAGCATGATCACTATCATGCCTCCTGGGCCTTGAGTTTTTCCCCACATACTCAAAGTTGTGCTCGCCATTTGCAGGACTAGAGGAAAAAGTAAAAAGAGAATGGTTTAAATCGCTGTGGGAGAGCCACGATCAGGCCTGTGAATCGCCACAATCCTCCCCAGCTACACAACCTACGTCATCTTGCTATTCAAGATACACTATACTACATTGGAATTCAAAAAAAAAGGTACATGTAGCCCACAAGGGAAACAATATTTTGGTGCTGAGGTACCTGCCCACCCATCTACAGTGTCAATTATTGTGATGCCAGCCCCCTGCTTGGGAGGGATTTGAACTGCACTCGTTCAGGCCGTCACCTCTGCAGTATGGTAATTTCTTCAAGGCAGTGTCCAGGTTTCCCACCAAGATGATGCAAGGACTTGGCAATACTTGTTCCCAGAAAACTGCTTAGCACTGCCTCAGGGGCCAACTGTCTATCGGAATGCTTTGGTATCATTGTGGCTTCAACCTGCAACTTTAACGAATGTGCACATGCCTGTACAGGGTCACTCATGTGCAAAATGGCCGCAAGAAGGTGCTGCTGCTGCTTGTTCCTGTTTGGGATGCGTTCAATGTGCTCCAACATAGCAGCCAGGAGGGTAGTGATTCGATGGCGATCGCCTTCCCAAGCCTCTGAAACTACACTCCCTCACCATCAACTTCCCTCCACCCTGCCCAACTCTTCATTTGTTGAAAACCATTCAAGAAGTGCCCCCAAGTTGCCAAATTGAACGAACTGTCTACGATGGCAATAGCTGTCTAAACAATCTTGCAGCTCACCAGCAGTGCGCACGATGCCTTTGTCTGCTGGTGTAGCCTATCCGCGATTGCCTTCCCTGTCTTGCCAAGCTCAGTCACGCCATAAGCAGCATCTGCTTGATAGTAACCCACAATTTGGAGACCTCCTTGCTGTGCCTTCACATAAGCGTCGACCTGCAAAAAACACAAGAGCAAGCGGTTCAGGCACAGTGCAATCAAATCAACCAATAGCAGTCTGCAGCTCCATAAGTCCAACAAGGCCTGCTCCATTGAACTGATGGGCAGGCATTTACGAAGAACAGGTCTTTTCAGGAGAAAGGGCCATGCTACATTCCTTTCCTCCACAGGAGTCCATGGCCAGGCAAATATATGCTCAGGCACAAGGACAGTGAATGAAACTAAGCAGTGCGCAAAATTACTCAACTTCAGGGGATGCATTCTGGAACAGAGCCTCCTTTTATAGGAATCGCACTCGGGACAATATGTTTGTGTACACATGCCCATCACCAACTTGCATTCACACTGGCAGTGCTTTGTCATTTTGGGGCAAGTGGATTTGACAGACTTCCATGCAAAACACAACTAGGGCTGTCCAAGTGGGAAGCAAGATGGACATCAAAGCTGAATCGCCTCCATTTCCAGCTTGTTGGAAATCAACCTGGTCAGAAACATCTGCTGTAACATTGCACACAAGATAGATTCAACAACTTGCTGTTTTCTGGATAAAACAGGGAAACTACCATGACAAGATTGACCAAAACTGCACACCCCTGTCTCTGTGGACTGTCGGTGAGACAAGCTGCATGCTTGATGCTCTACTGGCCAATGAGACTCCACCACAGGGCAAGCGCTAGCCAGTTATAACTGCAGGTGCCTGGGCACAAAGTCTGTTCGCGCTGATCCTGAGGATCAATGCTCAAATGAGCAGCACGACTAAAGCATCAGACAACATTTGGACGTCGAAGTGGCGCACTGTCGTTGAAATAATTGCCTGCAATTCCACAGCAACCTGCACTTCTGACTAGCTTCCACAACAAGGAGACTAATTTTGTGCCCTGCTGGCACTTTCTGGCACAACCCACCATCCTCACATATGAGCAATGAGGACAAACACCGAAACACTATCACACCCCAACCAATGCTGACCAATCGATGTTCACAGCTTTCCATCTCGTTGCCTGCATGGTTCCATTGTTGCCAGGTGGTTGGCAACCACATGGCAGTTGTCCATGCACAAAATATTGTGTGCTTGGGAGCATGCAGGTCATCCTGTCAAGCTACAAACAAGCCCAGGTCGAGGCCAACCCACACCCGTTTCCAACAACTGCCATAGCCCTCACTCTGGGGCAGAAATGGGCAGCAACAGAGTTCCCAATGATCGTGGAAAATTCACCAAGTGCACAGGGCAAGGACGCATGCCGAACTGCTGGACTGGGGTCCATCGTGGGAAAGCGGTACAATCGTGGAAATGCGCCGAGTAAAACGGGCCAAGGCGCACATCAAATGTCTAGAATGTGTCCGATCGTGGGAAAGCGGTGCAAGGTAGTCGAAGAGAACATTGCAGCGCAATCCGCTTCCAAACATGTGTCCCATGAACACCCTCCCTACGAGGCAGCACCACCCCCATCGTTCCAGACAAGACCGCAGTCATTTCGCAGCGTCCACACGCCGACGCCCAGCGAGCGCATGCCCCTTTTCTGCGCCAGAAGGCACACCTGTGTTGTCCCCATTCCCAGCGAGATCCTCCGCGATGTTCGTGCGATTGCTGGGCGACGAGCACGCTCGATCGCCACAAGACACCACAAGAGGATTGCGATCGCCTCTGCCTTAAAAACATCCCCCTTTCGTTACCGGTATCGGGTCCGTCAGCCGCGAGCCAGCAACTCTGCACCACCACAACGCAACGGCCCCACGGGCACTTGACAACTGCCAGCAATCAGACCCCACTCCCGCCCCAATTTCCACAATTCCTGGTCCATCATGATCCCGCCCGATCTGCCGCGCAGCTCACCATCGCCAGGGCGACCTCCAGGTGGGGCGCCAGCGGCAGGGCCGTGTGGAACAGGGGCACCGCGTCCACGACGTGGACACCATCAGCGTCGCCCCCGTCGAATCCCAGCAGCACGCCGTTCACGGAACAGGAAGGGAATTTAGCTCCGTGCAGGAGGGCCTTCAGCAGGGGCGTTGTGTCGGCCTTGTACCCGCCGCCCATCCTGCCCAAGGCCTTCTGGGGAGGCAGTCGGGGCCCAGCTGGTGCAATGCAACTGTTCTGCGTGGTTCGAGGTAATTCTGTGCGGTTTTAGAGGGGTCCTGGGGCTGTTTGTTGCGACAAACAAAAACGCAGAAACCGGGTTTGGTTGGCTCGGCATAAAATTACTGGCTGCACCAAATCGGTGACTGCTTGCACCAAGTCACGTGCACATCATGTCCCAACTCCGTCCAAACTAACCTAACCTAAAACCTAAAACCTAAACCCTAAAACCTAGACCTAAACCTGTCCTAACCCTAACCCTGACCCTAAAACTCACCCTGAAATTGAGGTTAGGACAAAGTGTGCACATGACTTGGTGCAAGCAGTCACCGATTTGGTGCAGGCAGTAATATTATTTCCCCAGGCTGTCTAGGAAAGCACTATCGCCCAACCCGATGGTGGCCGGCATGATGTGACAGTCATGTGTAGTTCAGGGTTATTCTGTGAAGCTGTGGGCCTGTTTGTCGTAGCAAAAGACCACACAGAAACGAGCACATTCTACATCTGCATTCCTTTGCAGGCCTCAAGGACCACGTGGGTAGTCCTCCTGACCGCGGTACATAGCACTGCCGGGTTAATCAGAGGACTGCGCACGTGCAGCGCGCGGATGTCCGGCCTTGTGTCAAAAAAACGCAGTAACCAGATTTGGATGTTTTTGCCCAGAAGCCACAATCGAATCTGAGCGCCAGCCTTGCAGGAGGGCCTTAGAGCATATTTATCGGTGGCATTGTCCTGGCGGTGCTTAACTGAATAGCACTGCTTGTAAAAAATCCATCATTAACCGTTGGGGAGCAATAGCACCCTGATGCTGTTCGGCACCGAACGGTGCTATTTGGGCCCCGAATAGCACCCCAGAATAGGATCAGTGCTATTCGCACAGCACGTGGGCATGTGGAAGTTTCCTTGCAAATAGCACTCCCCGTTACAGATGCAGACGATGTGTTATTGATCCCCAAGGTATCCACACTGTGGATTCATGCTGTGGATTCCACAACTACAGATGCTTGATCGGTGCGGCCTCTCCCCAATAACACCGGTGCTGTTCGGCAAATGCCGCCCTAACAAGGTGGCATGACAGCCAACCAGAATCGTTTCTGGATAGCACCGACCGATAAATGTGCTTCTAGTAGCGGTGTGGTGCCCGCCTTGGATACGCGGCCCATCCTGCCCCGAGCCGTCTGGGGAGGCAGTTCGCCCCTTGTGGCGGAGCCCAGTCCCGGTCTCGCCTGTATAATGTTCTGACATGCGTAGCGTTTGGAAGCCCGGTACTATGTACTGACCTGTGTGGTCTTGGGTAGTTTTGTGCGGTTCTCCAGCGTTCCTGCGTCCACTTCAAGACCAATTCAAATTTGTTTCGACAAAATTTGTTGGACAAATTTGCAGAATTGTTGTGGGATGATGTGGGCACTGGCGCTCGATGCTCTCAGCGCCCTGGCCTTGCACGGGGCAAGGGGGCAAGGGGAGGAGATGGAGAGTGGGATCGTTGCCCTCAAAAGGGGGTGGACGTAAATGGGCAGATGAGCAGGGGTGGCAGTCTGGGCCCCAAACCGGGGGGTGATGGCATCGGCGATGGCGGATGGAGGGATGGTGGCGCGGTGCCCGAGCCCAGCAGCCGATCGGTGGCTGCTGGGTGTGAGAAAAGCGGCGCCGGTGTCTTTCGGTGGGGTGGGATTGACCACGCCGTGGCTGCCCTCGAAGGATTTCCGAAGGTGGGAATGAGTGTGCCCGTTGCTGCAACGTGACAAACGACACGTGTCAATACATTTGTCGATACCCGTTGTTGGTACTTTTGACTTTCGTGAGTTCAGATCAATTGACAGCGACAGTATTGCGGCCGACGCACAAGCACATCGCTGTGCTTGGCAAACGAATATGGCCCTTCTCCTGGTGAATTGATGGAATGCAATTGTGTTGTGACCTGTCTGAAAACCAAGGGTTGCAGTCCAAAGCGTTTCCTTGTTTGCACAGGGACTGGGGAACACATTGAAAGGTTGATTACAACTATGGCAGTAGCCCAGTATAAATAAGGGTGAATGGGAAGTTGAATGGGCCTAGCATTGTCTCAATCAGCGGACGAAGTGGCGATTGCAGCGTTATGCAGGTGTTGTACTAGTATATTGAATGCGCTCATCCTCAGCTAGGGTCACACCAGGATGGCATATCTGCTTGATAAGATATTTCCAGCTTCATTTGGATCCACTCCATGTTGCGATGCCCCAACGATGAAGAGGCATTGTTGCTGATCATAGGCCTAGAGTTCATCACACTGTCCCTTCTTCTTTGCCTGTCTACCAGCAGAGCAGGGAAGACCACTTTGTTGCCTGCAAGTGCACTTCTGGCAACTTGGCCTTTTCCTCTGTGGTCCTAAAAACGAGAGCTGTGAAGATGTGGGAAGTGCCAGCAGATATGGAGATGAACGTGGCGATGTGCTCATTATGTGGCAAGCAAGTGGGAACATGAGAGCAGGAAATGTGGCAGGCACTGTGACCAGTATGTCAGTGTCGCTGTGCTTTGGCTGGAGGCTACCAAGAAGCCAACAATATGATTCAAACCTGGGCTGATGTTATTTGTAAGGAGCACTGAGCTGTTGCGTAATCTGACAAACTTGTTTCGACTGCTTTGGAACCAATTGTGTGAATCCTGGCTTCATGTGCAAGCTGCTTCCAGTTTGTCAAGTCATCCCACTCCTGTTTTACACAACGAGTGCGTACATGTTGTGGCACACACGTCTATGACGTATATAGGGACAACCTCTGTAACCTTAGAAGCACTTGCGGCAGAGCAGCCACTGCATGATCGCAGTGCCAGACTTTGCCTTTTTAGACACCTTCTGTGCATATTGTCTATTGTAGTTGCCTAATAGAATGCAATATTGGAATCCTTCAACCCATTAACTATATGTGTTTGCCACAGACTGCGGTCCACAGCAATATCACAAGTCTGTGAGCAACAGAGTGAAGCTTGACAGGACCCCAACAGGGAAAGTGTGAGAATGGAAATCTGGGGCACCTTGCCCACAGGGGTGATGATTAATGCTGGACGGACCCCAGAGTTGGGGAGCCCAGGCTTCCTATTGAAGTCACAATGCCCTATCTAGCAGGAAGTTGCGAGATGTCCATGCACTTTGCTACCTTGTCCAAGAAAGGGAGTTTTCCTCACTGCCGAGCTGCACACCTCAACTTAGGGCTGTATCAAGTGGTGTTTAAGCCTAATTCTCAACATTGGAAGCCAGGGGGGTCGTTCAAATCCTAGCCAAACTGGACAATGGGCCCTTAGTCCTCACGAACATGCAAGCAGAGCTCAGCAGGCATTGCAGCTGGTCTCCACCGGCACCGGCTTGGCCGTTGTGGACGCAAGCCACGCACCTTCAGCAGGGGCTGAAGTTTAATCCTCGACAGGTCGTCAGATAGGAGCCCTTATGCCTGCCCGGCCTGGGTCGGTGTGGTGCAAATTGAGTGACCGCCTCTCCCCGGGGCTGCAGTCCATCCACAACGAGAGTGATTGACATGACTCGAGGCATGGGCCCTTACACACCCCATTTCTCACTTTGGATGTGGCGAAGACGCAACGTTCCGCGCATCGCCATCATCAAATCCCAAACCTTCCCAAACCCCCCATAAAAGACACGACATATTACTGCGCGTGCGCCCGGTAGCCCGTCGCCCTGCACACGTGGCCGTCCACGCGTTCCGCGTCGCCAGCACGCCGTGGCAGGGGCTGGCTTCGGCGCCGTTTCCGTGTGAGGCCCTCCGGCCAGGCCGGGGGCCTGTTGACAGCACCCACCCGCTCAGGCCAGCTTCCCCGCCCGGTGGCCCGCGTGATGCGAGCGCCCCAAGTCACTTGACATCAGTCCAACACCATCGGGAACACACCGCACACGCAAAATGCACACGTTGCTTGCCCGCAATGCGCTCCGTAAGCGCCCAATGTACCCCCGCCCGGGACGCGGACTAACGTGCAACCAGTTTCGACCCCTCCGGCGGGCCGCGGGAAGGGGCCGCGGGCCTGTGGGTCGCTGGGAAGGTATCTGCGGGGCAGGAACCAACGTACTGGCTGCGTGTGTAACCCTGAGGCACGCGGCGCCCAAGAGGAGTAATGCGCCCCTGGGTTGTGACACAAGCAGCCGCGGTCCGGCGCCCGGTCCCTTCCCCGGACCACGTGACGCTTTTTCCGGTTGCCCATGACCGACTGGTTGCCGGCGCTGCGCCGACGCGGGCGGTGTTGTCACATCCTTGCCTCACGTTCGCCCCGGCTGGCGTATAAATGCGCGACCACACTTGGCAGCCCTGTGACCCAGCCGCCAAGTGTTTCGGAGGGCAGCCAGCACGGAAGCAGCGCCCAGCCCCCGCACTGGCCAGCCCAGACAATGACGGAGTCGGCAATGCTGCCCACGATGGTGCCCATGCTCCACATGCCCATGCTTCAGGTGGCCAACGACTGGCCGGCCGCCTACCCGCAGAAGGCCGCCTGGGGCAATGTGGAGCCGGTCCAGCCGGCGCAGGAATCGCCTATGGCGATTGTGCTGACGGAGGCCGGTCCCGTTGCGGTGTGCCTGTCAGAGCTGCTCGCCGGAGTGGGCGCCCCGGGGTGGGATGAGCGATCCGTGCACGAGGGAGTGGGCCTTGGTGGCAGGGACGTGTGCATGGTGGACGCGGAGAGGGTGGTGAAGCTGGAGGAGTCGGTGCCGATCGGCGTGCGCGGGGTGGGAATGCATGAGCCGGCGTCGCCCAGCAGCGGGGGAGTCAGCTTGCCGGCTGACCTGAGGTGAGCCCCCCGCCGGTGTAGGGGTGGGTGTGTGGGAAGGGGGCGGGTTTTTTGTGTGCGTGTAGATGCTGCTGGAGGCGCAGATCGGCAGGGGCTTGGCGATCTGAACCACCTCGGGGACTGTTTTCTGGTGTCGGGTTTGATTAGCGTTTTGCGCCTTGAGAGAGGTGGTGGGTGGTGGGTGGGTGGGGGGGGCGGGGGGTGGGCAGCCGCGGCTCGTTGGGGTGGGAGGGGTGGGTGGGATCGAGCGACGGGCGCCGGTCCGGGCCCGGTCGTGCGCCCCCAGCCGCCCCTCGCGCAGCCGTGCCCGTTCGCTGCGAGCTTCGCCGCCTCAGTCTCACGTCATAATCTCCAACGGTCACACCTCTGGCACGGGGCCCCTCGCCCCACGGACCGCCCCCCGCCCCACGGACCGCCCCCGGTCCCCGGCCCCAGTGTGAAGCGCACACCCCGCCGCGCGAGGCGATCCCCAGTTCCGACCGCTCGCTGAATCCGCACTTGCTTTTGCCCCGCAGCGGCGTGCTCACGGATGGCGGGTCCGAGCCGCGCAGGGCGGCCGGCGGCGGGGACGGAGGCGAAGATCCCTTCCACAGCGGCGGGGACGACGGCGACGACGTGGACCCGCTGGCGCTCAGCCCGGAGGAGCGCCGTAAGCTGCGCAACAGGCGCGCACAGCGCAAGTTCCGCGAGCGCCAGCGGGTCAGGATTGCCACGCTGGAGGAAGAGGTCAGGGGGCTGCAGGGCCAGGTGGGCGCCGGAACGATCGCGGCCATTTTTCCCGTGCGGCCGCCTGGCCTCGGCAGCTGAGCGCCTATGGCGCGGGTGACCCGTGCGCGGTTGTGTGGGGGTGGCCGTGCTGTCAGCCCCTGTGGGGTTGAGAGAATGGGGTGCGAGGATCCTGGTGCGGGATGCTGAGCCAATCGCGAAGGCCGTGACGCACGCGGGGTGCGCCACCCCACGTTGGCGCTTTCAGCGGTACCCTGGGCGTCCCATGGGCTGTGTATGGCGAGACGGTTGACCGTGGGTCGCGCGGGGGAGCGCAGTCCGACGGCGTGGTAATTGATCCCAGAGCCGCCGGTCCGCCAGGCCGGGCGGGGACGAGAACGTGGGCCGCGGCGCTGCTCGCCAGCGGCTTTTTTCGGAAATGACTTGGCCCCATTGGTGACGAGGGGACAGTGCGCACTTTAGGGATCCTGTGAGGAGTCACGCTTTCTTGGACTTTCGACGTGGCTTCCGCTCGTTGGAGTGCACCGCGACTGACTCGCCTTCGTGCGTTGCGTATGCACGGTATTTTCCGCCCGCTGCTGTGCGCTGTAATCGAGCCACCTGCGTGTGCCGCGCGCAGTGCGCTGTAGTTGACTCATATTGCGTGCCGAGCGGTTCCACCGCTGCGGTGCACCGCAGGTGATCCCCTTTATTACGCTGAACAGTGTCTTCCACTCGTTGCCGTGCACTCAAGCCTGTTTTGAAGAATACTGGCACAAAATTTAGCACTTTACGGTACTTGCTGGCAACGCTGCGTTCTGAAAGGGTGTTCACTGTAGTTGATACGCTGTTGTGTGCTGGCAGTTCCGCCAGTTGCAAGTGGAGAACGCGAAGCTGAGAAAGGAGAACGAGATCGTCAGGTCCGTCCTGGGCAACGATGAGCACGTGATGCCGGTCATCTGCTAGGGAGCACCAGCACCAGGTAGAGTCCCGAATCCTTCTGCGCGAGTCGAGCGCATTTTGTACAAACAATATTCATGTACAGCCTACGGTCATGGGTCTCTGATATGTGGTGGTCGCTGGGGCCGTCCAATCCGCTCCATGTGCCACGGTCCCCGTGGAGAGAACAGGCCAGGCATTGGCTTGGCATTTCTGTTCGGAATATGTCAAACAGTTTTAGTGCTGCAGGTGCTGACGCGCAGAACAGCCGTATGCGTTAGAAGAGCAGCCGCCCAGCACTAAGAGCCCAGCGCGCCAGCACCCGTCCAGCAGCTGGCTTCCAGCCATCGGCTGAGTAACTTGTGTGACGCGCCCTCCAAAAAGCTGGCACAGCAAAATGGCTAACCAGACTATCTTGCCGCCAGGTTATTTATTGCCCATCGATGACTGAGGTGACTGCGACGACAGATTATGGAGCGGCGGTGACGACACAGCGGGCGGCCGGGTGGACGGATGTCGGAAGCTGCCCACCCTCCGATGCCTGGAATGTGCAGAAAGGGGTAATTTGAATTCGTGAGCGCCAGCCTGGCAAACGAGCAGAGTGCACGTCCGGCGTGCATGTACAGTTAGGGGAGGGGGAGGAGCCGGTGGAAAGGACGTGTTTGTGTATGGTGTGTTATTAGAAGCTGTACTTTTTATAAGATTGCTGTTGATTTGGGAGCCTCGATGGACTCGGCTGCAGACATTGCCTCCCTGTTGTTGCCTTTTGCGAAGGGTTGATGGGACGTCCAACGGCGTTCGGGGTTCTGGCATTAAATTATTCGAACTTTTCGACAGCGCATCGATGTAAATATTAACAGAATGTTCGAGTGGTCCGCCTCGATCGTGCTGTCTGATCCCCCTGCGGCGCAGGCTGGCTCCCAAGAAACCGGCGCCTCCACTGTCCAAGCGCCTCCCTAACAGCAATGCACAACACAATTGCAGTTGCGAAGAGCGCCTACTGGCGCCAGCGTACATGGCCACGCTAACCGATGCGGTGGGCAGCCAATCGATGGTTGTAGCACACCGCTACGCCGTGCTCGTTGTGAGCGTGAACCGCAGGATCAAGATTTGTAAACGCCCGCAGCACTTGAGCACGTGCACCACGGATTGGCTGGTTGGGCATTTGCTGCACTGCTTCACAGCCCTGTCCGCGACGCTCGAAATAAAGCCACACTTTGGACTCTGCCGTGAAGACCAACAGCGGAACAAATCCTAGACATTAGCAGTCAGCACCAATCGGAATCAACGACACGCTCCCCACAGAGTGATTGTGGGACTTGGATGGACCGGTCCGTGGAGATTCGTAACGACAGCAATCAGGCTGGCCTCACTGCCCCGTCAAATTCACACCAGATTGTGACAGCCAAGGTGCACCTCTCAATCTCTGGACTCTGCGTACCGTAGTAAATTCAACCCTTCCACACAGTAAAGTAACGCTTGGCCTTACGGAGAAAACAAGAATAAATAACGCCTGTTGAGTGAAATTTTTTGCGGAGCGACGTAAAAGAAATAAAGTATCGCTCTGGAAAACAAAATGCGGAGCAAAAAGCGCAACGGAAAATTTTTGATGCGGAAGGGTTGAATGTACTACGCTAAAGCCCACACACTACTGCATGCCCTGCCCCGTTTCTGCAACTTCCAGGAACATGCCTTGTGGTTCACTCAAACGGCATGGCTGGGTGTTGCAGAACGCCACCAAGTGCATGTCAGAGTCAGGCCACTCCAGCCCATCCCACAGGCCGCGGTATGTCTTCTCGATGCGCACCAGCGGACACTTCGGACGGGGGATGCTTAAGCAAAAGGGTGCTCAAGTAGAGGGATCGATCTTGTCGGTCCAGTCAGTGGTCAGACCCTGCACCTTGAAGGAATCTGCGATGTGGTCCGACCAGTTCTCCGATGGGCCTTGGGAACATGTCCAGCAGTTAATAATGAGAGGAGATGGTATGTGACCCCAGTTGGCAACCATAGCCACTGCGGTTTCTGCTGCTGCGGAAGACGGCAATGGGGCGGATTGTCAGAAAAAGTCCTTTTGGGGGAAGACCGGTATAAGGCTCAGTATTTCATATTTGCATAATTGAAATTTCCTGAAAGGGTATTAAAGCCTCTTTTGCAGCGATGCACACCAGCCATCAGTCCTGCTTCGGGCCGACCAAGCTGGGCGACTGCCACGTTCACACAGCACAAATGATGTGCCCCCCAGCAAATGCGAGTGCTGCAGTTTCAGCAGCGGTTCTGAAAAGGAAAGTCTCCTTTGGCGTTCAGCTTGATGCTGCCACTTGGCATGCAGTCTCTGTAGCTCAGGGCGAGCCGAATTAGACACCTGCAACACAAGCTGGAGGCTGGACACACCTGGACAGTTGCACAGTGTGGGTGTATATGCGCAACCTGACCAACATTGGGAGTGTGATGGAAAAAAACTGTGGCGTCAACCAAGTCAGTTTGCAGAGCTGTCGCGGTTCCATTGCAGGTTCAACGTTTCGGACTCAGAACAACCTCCTTCCTCCACCCTAGTTCCTCCCAATTCTCCTAACAAACACGCTTCCTTCTGTCCTTTGGTTATTCCATTCATGATCACAACTTGGTGAGAGCATTCAGTGAACGGAATGCCCTCACCAGCTGTGCACAATTCACTTCGACAATCATGCAAACAGGGAGCACGGCATCCATTCCACCTCTTCTTCAGCGCCATAGCGACTGCCCTGTCTTCGCTCAAAGCCACATCTCTGTGCTGCGTGCATGGCTGCGTCGACACTGCAGACTTAGGATTAGAACGTCACAGCGTGGCTTCAATCGTCACCAGAACTGTGTGCATGTGACGTCACATGGGGGTGGTGACGTCACGCTGGGAATCCCCAGAGGCTGCCCATGCACGGACTGTTTGTTGAAGTGTCTACACCGGTGTGGACGAGATTCCCGAACTAGGGTACCCCAGTTTCGGGAATCTGGTCTTCGCGATGGTGTTTTTGCTCATGGAGATTCCCTCGCAGCACGAGGACGTTGCTCCACCGGTTCAACAGCCATTGACATAGTCTATTGCATGCGTTGACACCAAGTGAGCGCTCCATTGCATTGTGCAATGCGCCCTTGATATAAGCCCATGCTATTATTGGCGGGCGCTATGACGTCGACCCCAGAGCGTGGAGCGGGCTTACCGTGCCTGTGCCAATCCAAAACCTAATCATCAAAATGAGTAAGAGGGTACTTGAACAAGTGATCATATGGAATGATAATGGTGGCTGTATGGCGGACTAAGTCCAGCACAACAAGTCTTGTTGTGCCTGTGCAAATCAGCAGCCTGGTAATCAAAACGAAAAGAGGGAAAATGAACAAGAGATTATATGGATTGTAACGTTTGTATGGTGGAAATGAATAAGTTGTTGAATACTGCGAAACGGATTTGAAGAGGAAAGGGGAGGCGGCCCGAATGTGCTCGCAGCAAGGCCACTTGACCGGCACACTCGCCCTGCAATCCCTCCAGTGCGGTCTCGCCTTTGTGCATGGGAGCAACCGTGGTGTGGGAAGCCTTGACGTTCGTAGTCAACAACATGCAAGCAAACAGTCAGAGGTGATTGGCCAGCACATGCAGCTGTGTTGGCACGATGCAACAAATGTGGTCCATGGAATGTAGATGGCTGAGGCGGCTTTTCCAGGAACAAATTCGTTCTGTCAAGCTAACCAAAACAGTGAAAAAGCACTACCCAACATGCAACCTCATCTGGACTACCCCACCACTCCCCTCCCTACAAGAAGGCACCTCCGCTTCCAACACTGCCATCATACCCACAGGCAGCCAGCTACATCAAGAAGTGCCATCAAGACCGCACAAAAACTCCCTGACACGGCGCATGCATGGTCTGTGTTCCGCGTCCGAAGAGCAGCATGCTCGCATCAGCTCCACAAGCCCACCAGGGCAGTCTGCAGGAACGTCGCAGGGCGGCACCCCATTCTTCTTCTTCTCCCAAATGTCGGCCTCCGTGGATCCGATGCCATATGGGTACCGCTGCGCCGCGACCTCGTGCATGACGACTCCAAAACTGAAGACGTCGGAGGCCAGGCTGTGGGATCGCCCATCGAAGATCTCCGGTGCTATCCAGAGAGACGGGCCTATGTGCCGCCTGACAGAAATCGTCCTCACGTCTGTGATCTCGATGGCGGAGCTGAAGTCAGCAATCTTGACTGAGCTTTCGGCGTTGTCGAAAACAAGGAAACTGTGGCTGTTCACTCCCCGATGAATCACCCCCTGTGCATGCACGTACTCCAGGCCAAGAGCTGCCTGTTTCAGTGCGTTTATCTTCTGTGGCCACGTCAGTGACAGGGTTTGCCTGTACCACTCCATGAGGTCCATGTCGCTGCGCTCCATCACCAGCAGGCCAGTCATGCTTGCGCCAAAGAACCTGGCGACGTATGGGAGCCTGATGGAATCCATTATGGCCACCTCCGTGAAGAATTTTGCGAAGTCTTCAAGATCCAGCTGGCCTCCCTTGGGAATCAGCCTCTTCACCATCACCTTTGTGTTGAAGTATACAGCCTCGCGAACCTCTTGGGACACCTCCTTTCCCCAATCGATGTCAGTCTCTCTGATGATGAGCAAAGAGCGTATGCGCGTCATATGTTCTCTCTTGACAGATTCCCACTCTTCTCGGAAATCAAGATCAAAATCACAGATCGCCCTTCCATACAGAATGAAGTCCAATTTGCGGTGCAGATCGTTTATGTCTGCCTCAATGCATTCAGGAGGTACTGTGTCGCAGATCTGCACCTGTTGGAGGCCACACATGAACAGCAAGTCGCCTATTTTCTGGAGTATCATTTCTATGCCTCGTCGAGCGTCTTCAACACAATAAAAGGTCTTCAGATCGAACTGCGTCCTGTGGCGCTCGATCAGCTTCTGTCCCAACTGCACAGTGCCTCGCAATGTGTTCTGACACCTCCTCCATTCATCGCTTGACATGTGCCCCGGCCTACTCGGTGGCCAGGTCAGCAACTGGTCGATTGGGTGCAGCTGACTTGCAAGGAACTCCATCATGCTTCTGTTGTACCTGCAGTATGCCTGTGTGCCACATAACACAATACTGCAGTCGTTGCATGTGTTTCCTTGAATGCATTCATCCAAAATGATTGCACTTTCGCCCTGGTAATTTCAGGGGTTGTTCCCAAGCACAGAAGTTGTCCATATTGTGTGCGTTGTGTCCATTCACTGTCATCGCATGTATATAACCTGGATCAACATGTATGCCATAAATCCACAGACAACAACATCACTGCTGGCCATCTTGTTGGCACGAAAGTGTTGCTGAACATCAACAAATCATGTCATTCAGACCACACAGAATCAGCGATATGTGTGCAAACACAATGGGACCAGGAGAATGATCAAGGCATGGCGTCCATCACATTGTGCATCACAAACAGCCTGACAAGTTTGTTTCTGTATTTTGACTGGCCAGACGGACCTCAGTGTGGCCCAGGCGATGCATCTCCTCCACAAACCGAGTCAATTTATCTTCCTCCCCAAGCCTGTCTATTCTCTTCAGTTGGTCCTGTATGTCCTTGCAGCCTTGGCTGTTGGCTGCTAAGCAGCATGCTGTTATCGCCAGTGTCAGATCTGAGGTACACCAAAACGTTGAGTAAAACTTTGTCCACATCCACAAGCACTTGCAAGGATCCACACACAGTCAGCAAGGATATCCGCACACGTCCCGCACAAGCAGGTTGTTGTGTTCAGTGCCAGTGTATTTAGCTTATGTGGCACGACTGTCTTGATATCAATTCCCAGTCAGGCGCTCTTACCACATCATCATGATACATCGCATCCATTACTTTCTATGTGCCAGCATGGCTAGAACGCATGATCACACATTCAAATCAATACAGACAACCAGTGAATGCAATGAACAACAGTTTGCGATTAACCTGAAAACATATGGGGGGTAGAGTCTTCCAATCGATTCTGCCTTTATTGCCTCTCCTTTATTCCGCTTTATTGCCTCCTTGTATGGAATCGATGCCAAGTTCCTCATACAGGCACTTGCAATGAACCAACAGGGTAGGTGGTGCAGGGATGAATGTGCTGAAGTTGGTGGACCCCAAACTCCCACACTAACAACTGCTAGAGCACGAACCCATGCTGTTGCAAGGCAGTGAGGATTGTTTCATGAATACGGCAGGTTTTGGATACCTGGCTGCAGTGTGGGGAATGAACTCTGGGAAGCTGAGTGGCTGCTGGAGTCAGCAGAGCTGATTGTGGTTGCTGTCTTCACCCTTGGACTACTGGTGTCGTCTGGATCATTGGGTTCGAAGACTTACAACAATTGAAGGGTCAAACATACCTCCAAAGGTTGCCAAGTTGTCCTGTTCGGCATACTGAGGAATCAAATGTGTGACACGATGGTTGATTCTATGTTGCATGGCACAGAATATTAGGGATATCAGTACAGCTCAGTGCTGTCAAGGCGCTTTGCAACCATGCAGTAGGAACAAGGGATGGGGAGTGCGCTCAATCGATGCAGCATAGAAGTCACTGCAGAAACCCAGACCATTACTCCGGATCCAGCGATCTCCACATAACTCCAAAACAGTGAGGATCCTTGTCTTCATGCCCAACTCTTTCCATTACACAACAGACCTGCAAATGGCACCTGCCCTTCCACTTATCTGCGCAGAAACTGAACAGCAATCCTCACACCTGAAACGACGGTGTTGAGATCATGGTGCACATCTTCAAACTGTGCCCTTATATTCTTGGAGTGTATCCACTTCTTGTAGTGTGGCGTGCTATCAGTCCTCACCAAGAGGTCCAGGGCATGCACCAGTTTTTCAAGCACCCCACGAATTGTCTTGTCCATAGACTTGAGATGCCCATCCAATCCACTTGCTGTCCCAAAGCCTTGCACAAGCTGGATTCGCTCCAAAACGCCAAAAATTCCATGCACCCTGTCCTGAAGGAAGTGCTGGCTCTCATCAATTTTCACAATGTTGTCGATGGCTTGCTTCACAGCCCTCAGAGGTGTCAGAACTGTCCTGACCAGCTCAATGGTGGCAGTGATTTCTGCCATTACCCCTCATCTGGATACAATCGAACAACGAACTGGCAGTCAATGTGGTTGACTCTGACCACAGGGAAAAGTAAATTTGAAGAAAAGTGTACAGCTACGCAGAGTAGTCTGATACCAGTGTGCTGTTCGATGCCATTGGGGATGAATGTCCAATCCAACAGTTCCATTCGGTTGTCCACACACATCAATGTGGTGTTGTTTGCAAAGTACAGAGTTGCAAACACGCATTGGACAGTGCGCAAGCCAAGCATCTGCAATGCATGCCCACAAAGGGATGGACTACTGCGATTCTTGGGTGTGATCAGGCAGCAGAGAGTATTGCAGGCAACTCTGTTGCAAGTTGACCGGCCACCGGGTGACAACATCGCCCTAGATAATTACGACATTTATGTCTGAAGTTCCCTGTCGCCAGTTCTGTGGGTCAGAGGACTCTCCAAGGCGCTGGCCAAACCTGCCTATCTGCTCACAGGATGCTCATAGAGCGATGAGACATTGATTGCATACTGGCGCTCCAAATGACAATCGGCCCTTCAGTCCAATCTGAGCTGTAGTACTTGGATTAGCCTCGCTTCCTCGCTCTCTGATTGTATGATCAATCGTCTAGCGGACAGCACCCTCAAAACGGTCAGAGACACTGGCTTCACCTGAAGAAACGCACCACAGAAGCAGCAAGATTCTCGGTCAGCTCTGTCCCGTTCCGCAACACTTGGGCGCTGCACCTGCAGAACATTACTTCCTCAATGAGATCCCTACCAGACACGGCGACGTCTACCCAGCGCCTGCAGTCAACATCAACAATCGCTGACCGATGGTCAGAGCCATGAATCGTTCGTTCTCCCCCTCGCAGAAGGCCCAAAGCACACTTGGGCGAGCTTAGCAACATCGACAGCGCATTATCATTCTCAAGAACACAGAAGGGGCTCATTGCAGCGGCAGGAACGCACCGCGACGGGAGGCAGTGCCCGCTGGCACCCCGCGGGACGCCAGAAATCCTCACGGGACAAACGATCCCCCTCAGTCGACGCTCACGGAGCAGGCTGCCTCGTTCAATGGGCAAGAGGCCCCGCTCCGCTCGGCTGCCTCCTCCCTGTCGCAGCAGCGCAGCGAAGCACGTCCGAATGTGTGCTGACCTTCGGCCGCATATCAACGTCGGGTCGCGTGCCTCCGCGGTGGTCCCCAAGGTCGCCTGTTTTCCATCGCTCAGTGTGGCCGCACAGTAGGACAATCGGCAAGGGTTGCACGCCGTACTTAAGGCCAGGGGCCTTTGATGTCCGTAATCGCTGACCGTCCTTGGGTATCCCTGGGCGACAACGCAGCCAGGCAGCACACCGCAGCTGAGGATTCTGCCAAGGGCACTGGTCCCTTTCTGCCGAGCGTTCAGGGCCCTGTGCCTGCACGACTGGCGCGTTGCTCAGAGCGGCCTGCCCGGTCTCGATCAGCGCGAGCACCGATCCGAATTGCATGTTCTGCGCTGGGTCAGTGAATCCACTTTTTGTTGGCCACACTGGACGGACAGCGAGCTTGTCAAGCAGGTGGTGATGAATCTCCTCAGGGCGAAGATGTTGGATGAACTTTGGGAAGGTCACGAGCTTGGGATTGATTTTACGTTTGGGGAACTTGAGTCGTCGGCCATGACGCAACCATTCACTTGCTGTACGGCAGTGCTGGGGGAACGAAGACCGAATCCCCCCAGAGTGGCGAAACACAGCATGTATTCCGCTTGCCTCTGCGTACGTTGTGCACAACACAATCTGTGTCGTTCCTTTGCGGATGTTGACCGAAAATCCCCGAAAGGCTGCGGGGCGGAGGGAGCATTGCCCTGACTTCTGGCACATAGGAAATGGCATCCAACCCTCTTGGCAGTTTTGCTGTAATCCTTTGATTGTGCCTTGGACAAGACAAAGCGGTGCCCTTGCGCCTGTTAGGCGATGCAGGGCGTGTATCCAAGAACGTCGTTATGTTCCACATCCTTTCATGTAAACATGACGTTGCAGATATTGCAATCATTGTCAGACACTGCCACTTGATCGTTATCCGAACCAGATCCCGAACCTACTTTACTGCGTTGTCCACAGTGCCATGGGCAAGAAGATATTGTCCTGGAACAGGAAAAGACTGTTGACGGGAAAGAATGTTGGGCAACATACTTCCTATTGCTGTGTCTCAAACAAAATGAAACGAACGACTGTGCTTCGACAGCATTATGTGCATGGGAATTGTTAGGCTTCAGGATACCCACGTCTCTGAAGTAGAGGTTGTGCACTTTTTCTGGCTCCATAGACTTGGCCCATTGTGTATTGAGCTATGGTTGTAATTGATGTGCTTGCAGTGGTGCACAACTGTTCAATCAAGTGTTCATCGGCATGCATGAAATGTGCACAGCATATATGCACAGCAGAGTTTTATTGATTTCATGCAGAGTGCCAGTACATGGGAACTGCCTGAAAGGCCAGTTGCGCACATTTTTCTCCTCCCTTGCAGGTATTATGCCATAATGTACCAGACAAGAGTACTGAACTAGACTGGCCCAAGCCCGGACAACCACAACTACTCATGTCATTGTTCCCTTCTTAGCTTCCTTGGGGCCTTTTTGGAATGCTGTTGGATTTGTCTGTTGTTACTTCTTCGATCGACATTGCCTCGGGTATTGGTTTCAGCTATTGTCCCATGTTGCATTGGGCGTTGACCAGAGGTTGTGCGACATCCGAAAACCACTCAAAGAGGGTCCCTTGGCAACTGATATTAACAGGGCGCTCTTGCCTCCTTCACCTTAGAGTTCCTTATTTCGTGGCGTTGTGTTCCTCATTTGTATACATAGTACATGGAGGTCCAGTGCTGAGCGTTGCCAATGCTCTATCCACTTTTAGCAGGCGTTCCATGTGCTCACAAACTGAATCCATCTCACAAATGGGGCCAACAGTGCTTCGCTTTGTGTGTGTGTGGTTCAACGAAGGTAGAAAACGACGGAATCAAGCTGATTGATGTGGGGTCCGATGTTGACAAAAAGGCAGTCTATTGTAGCAGAGCTTGTGAGGCATTCAATGTCCCATCACAAGATGCACGTGATATTGGGGATCATTAAAACAACTGCTCAAAGAGCACACCAGCAAATGGCCCCCCTTAGACTGAGATCTACCAATTCTGCATTCGATTTTTACTTGCCCTCATGACATCGATAAGCTGGTTGATGCAATTCAGTAGCCAAGCACTGCTTAGTGATAATGCTTTAATAATGCTTAATCATAGTGCTTAAATGACAGGACATGATTCACACAGTCCAAATTTCATGGCTGATTTATCTCTTGCTTGAGTGTGGTTGCCCCTTCTGCAGCGCACAGGCAATGCTATCAAAAAAGGCTCCCAAAGCGTTGGGCTAGGGGAATGCAGGGTTAACAACTTGCTTCTGTCACTGGCTATTGGGCTAGTACAGTGCATGCTACGCAGCTTGATGGGGGAGAAGATGGAGATAGGCTTCATGACAAAACGGGAAGCTGACCAAACAGCTCCCCCACCTCCAAAGCGAGAACTTTGGAACCCTGCAGGAAGTTGCAGAAAAT